GATGACGAAGACTTTTAAAGACTAGCTGAATGTAACAAATCAGCGATATAGTCAAAAAGAATTCTCCACCCACATGTTGCAGTGTATTTAATGGCCTCACAGACCACCGCCGCCCACAACGCTCCCTCTGTTGGAAGGTTCATTATTACAACTTCCTTTACTGTTGCCATATTTGTTGTTGTGTGGCACTATTGACTCTGCCCGTTGGTGCCATCTATCAGATCGTCATTATGACTCATTCAGCCATTCATACGTCTTTTTAATTCAATATTTCACAAAACATGCCATGTACCTGGCAGGTCCTGTTTCTGACTTGGTAATGCTCCAAGCACGTATTCCAAACTACTGGATGGTGAAAAACGGACAAAATTAGCCTCTCTGCCATGGCCACAGGAAGTTGCTATTAGGTTTCTATTCATCCGTAAAGAAATGCATCATCTGTATATTTACAGATATAGACACCAGTCACATATGAAATGGATACTGGATCTCACTGACCGAGATTCATTTTGCTATGTGTAGTGTTTGGTATTCCCCTTGAAGTGCTGATTTTGTTATACATGCTGATGTACATGTACATATAATTTTCCTACATCAAATTAAACTGTGTACATATTGTATAGTTGAAGTTATTTCAGCTTAAGTGTGATTTTTTTCAATGAATTGAATGGATGCAACTATCAGCTTTAAGTCTAATGTTTAAATTGTAAATCTTATTGTGCATATATATATATGTTTTTGATCAGTAGACATACAATCAACAATACAGCTTCAAGTAAAACAAAACACTATATGTATGAGTACTGGTCAATAAGGTGTAACAATAATAGGACAAAGCACAGATAAAGTCACTCTAAGTCACTATAATAGATACAAATGTATGTGCATGCATTATTCAGTGTCTTTTTAGAACACTAAACATGTAGCACTCTAACCTTCCTCGCTCTGTTAACGTCATATTAAAACAGAAATGTCATGAAAATGGTTAAAAAGGATGTTCAGGCAATCTCCTCCGTCCACCACCGCATTTAGAAAAGGATCCATCCACACACATGCACGCACACACAGCCACAGGTTATTTATATTCAGCATGCATCACAAATGAGCCAAACCCATGCATATAAATCACAGGGAGATCATGGTCAATTAGTCCAGGTTCATGTTCACTCAGTCTCACAGCAGGAGTGCTGCATGCTCAATATTTCTCATCAGTGCTTCTCAAACTAGTGTTTATGATCTGCGATGGTTCGGGGGCCTTTTTACCCGTGGGTCCACCACAGACTATATTAGATACACTTATCGCCATCGCTGGAATCCAAGATCTTGTTCCATCCAGTCTTCAGTGTTTATTTATCAGTTTTCTGTTGCCAGTGCTGATAATGGTACAGTTTGCGTGAGGCTTTGCAGGCACGAGTTCATGATATCATGAATAACACATGATAAAGCACGCTGAACATTTTCTCTAACATTTTTTATGTATTGATTCTAATTTGGGACCCATCCATTTGACACAAAACAGTGGTTTATAAGAATGTAGGTCTTGATTTTTAAAACAATAGATTCCATATTTGGCCCCTTTTAAGAATAAACATTTATAAAACTATGTGTTTACCACAGCTTTCTTTATTTTTAACATGGTTGGGATTTTTTGTTTCTATATTTTTTTTTGTATAAATGCACACTTGCTTTTAATTAATTCTTCAGAACCTATCAAGACCTTTTTGTCACTGCCTTGTCTGAGAGCTTTTTCTGTCTCTGCCAGTGTGTTTCCCAGTTTAAAGGATGAATAAATGAATGATGGGTGGTCATGAAATTCATATCACTAATTTGAGGGTGTCTCCATTTCCACTTCAAAAGGTTAGCATGTGACACAGTTGTGGGCCGGAGATGAGATATTGCTCATGTCCCCGAGAGATGTAACGTTTGACAGTTAAGATAAGATGTTTGTCTAATGTTTTTAATACATTATGATATGTTAAACTAGTTTAAATATAAGTGTTTTTTATGGAAAGCCAAGGTGCAAAGACAATATTTCTGGTTATTTTATGGCATTTTTGCATATCTGTGTCCTGCAGTAGGAAGAGAGGAGCTGACAGATGACAAATGTTGAGAACCAAATAAAAGTTCACATCTTGACGACATGATGTGACCACATTTTTCTTCATTTTTTCGATTGTTTTACAAGTTGCAGCCGCTTCTACGTAATTTCTACCCTAGTGCTTGTATGAAAGGGCTCAGTAACAATATATTCGAAGGACATCAGACTCTCTGATTCACATTTCCCTTTTGTCTGTAGTATAATAGTTTTCATTCTCTGTTTCACTTCATGCAAATATTGCTATAAAAATGTGCTCTAGGTCTTGAATCTGTAAACAAACCGTCTATAATAACCTGCAGTCTGTCTCTGTGAAGGACATTTAAAGGATTTAGTGAACTATGCTGTCTGTCTAACTGTGATAGATAGCACACCTGCTGCGTAGTGTAAACTGCAACATTTCCACTTATTCTACTTATCCCTGCCTTCTTCTCTCGTCTTTTCCTCTGTTCTCATTTTTCATTCTTCCTATTTTTTCAAGTTTATTTCTTTTAAATATTTCCTCTCTTCTTCCTTCTTTCCTTTTCCCTTCCTTGGTCTCTTCTCTTTGTCCTCCTATCTATACCCCCTACAACACGCACGCACGGATACATGCACGCACTGAGAGTTCATTAAAGGAGCCCTGAGGCCGGATCCACAAATCAAACTGTGTAAATAAGCAAGTTTTGCTCCTGCAGAGCAGTCACTGCTGTTGCCATGGCTACCTGTTGCACATCTCACGGGTTACCAAGGACGGCCTTTAAGTGTGTGTCTGCATATGTGTATGCATACACTTTTTTTTTGTATGTGTGTGGTTGTGGGAGGGGAGTGTTACTCTGTGCCATATAGAGCAGATGAAATGCTGAAAAAATGAAACACAGATTTTACAAACATTTTTTTGATTTAATTCAATCACGATTCTTTGGCGTCTGATCTGATTCAAAATCGAATGAATTATTGAATGAATGGAAAAAGAGGCAGACATTTCAGTTTCTTGCTCCAGGACACCGTGTGCCAAACCATTTCCTGGTGTCCTTATTTCACTGAAATACAATATGAAACATAAATGGTCTTCAACGGAACTGCATTACTTAATGAATTTATTAATTTGAAAGCACCTTACAGTTTCCTGCCTGTGTGAGATCAATGAGGGGAGACAGAGTGCTCCGCTGTGTTGTTGTTAACATTGTGAGAGCAGCCTCTCTGCTGCACGTTAGCTCCGAGGAGAACCAGAGAACCAGAGTTTTTGAGGTGAAACAGGCTGAGCATCGAGTTATTTTCTTCACCTCAGTTCAGGGTTTTCCCTGGGTTTTTTGGAGACCAAGGTGGCAAAGGCCTGTGGCAGGGGGCATCTTGACAGCTGTACTTTTAGATACGGTCCCCCCTTCTATTAAATATGAAAGGAAGCCCCAACATGCTTGAGCTTTACACTGCTGACTTGTATAATCAGAACAGACATGTCCTGTGATTTTCAGCCTTCTATGATTATATTTACCCTTTACAGCAGGCACATCCTAACAGCTGAGAATATAACTGTCAGGTATTGTCCCCCCTCTATTAAATATGAAAGGAGGATGAAAATCACAGGACATGTCTGTTCTGATGATACAAGTCAGCGATCCTGAAATGTGTGTTTCTCTTCTATAATACACATTGTACATCTCGGAGGTGACGTCTTTCCACATACGTGGTTCCTTCGCCTTTCAAACGGGGCAGACCTCCATGGGAAACAGTAGGAGAGACACAGCCCGAGGGGGGAACCAGGATCTGACACAACACCGGAGGGAGAAGAAGGTCCGTGGAGCTGTGCGCCGGATGAAAAAGAAAGCCATCACAATATGCTTCACGTTCGTCCAGCGAATGCCTGCCTGTGCGAGCTGTAGACTGTCCGACTTCTGCCTTTTTCATTCTGTCGACATGACGTTATTGACTAACATTTAAAAAAATGATTTTTGACATTTGTGAATCGATGCAGAATCATCCAAGTCAGCATGACAGTGCATCCAAGAATTGATTTTTTTCCGTCACCCCTAATGCACTTCCATATCTGTATTGATACTTGGAACGGCTGATGCTTATGTTGGAATAAATGCTGGAAAGCGTCAAGGTGCAGTGTCATGGCTTAGGTTTGACCAGTCGGCAACATTAAGTACTGGAAACCAGTCACCCCAATAGTCTCTGCCTCAGGAGAAGGGACTTTGCAGGGGGGCAGAAAACAATGTTCCAGTGACTGGAAATAGTTCTGCACATTTCTGTGATGAAACCACAGGGAGTCCCTCAAATGATTCCTGGAAATGGAATCATTCGCGGTGGAAAAGGTCTGTTAGTTTATGTGGCATTCATCCTGACAGTGTACAGTTGTCTACCTGGCAGCTCCAGCACCAGTGTAGAAAGTGTCCATTAGTCCTTTGTTAGCAGAGATGAGGACAGGTTTGCATATGTGTGTGTGTAAACAGACAGACTAATGGACCTAACTGAAATCCAAACACAGGAACTGGCGGGTGATCAATGCTGTTTACGTGTAGAGGGTGAAGTGTGCAGGCTTCTCTTGGCTGGTCCAAAGGTAGAGAGTATGTGGTATACAGGGACTGATGGATTGGGGAGGCTCGAGACACTCAGGTTAATCCTGAAAACAGAGATGAACATTTCATTGAGGCTTAAAACTTTTATGGGGAAGGGGAAACATCCGAGTAGATAATATCTCACTTTTAATCCCTGCTTTTCTTCCATTTCTTGTATTTCTGTTTTCCTCTGCACTTAATACTACTGAAGGCCTTTTGTCCATTAACCCTCCTGTCTCTTCATCTCTCTCTCGCTGTTTTCTAAAGTTTAACAGTTTGTTTTTGATATGGTATGTAAAAAAAACTATGATCACTCATCTCTCTTTTCATCTGTCTTCCTTGCTCTTCTTTATCTGTCCATCCAGAGCGTCAGCTGGCCAACAGTATGACCACCGCAGGCTCTCTTCCTCCCAGTGTCAGTGGGATCAGTAAGGAGCTGGCTGAGGTGCGCCACCTTGTTCAGTTCCCCGAGGAGATTGCCTGCATCCTTACTGAACAGGAGCAGCAGCTTTACCAGCGGGTGAGAGGTCACGCACACAAATGGAGAAAATAAGAACCATCACAAGAGTAACGGTAGACTTTCTTCTGAAATTGGCAGTAATCGTAATTCACTCGTCTGTTCCTTCCTCCAGGTCTTTCCCTTGGACTACCTCTCTTTCCTCACTCGAGACCTCGGCAGTCCTGAGTGTCAAACCAAACGACATCTGAACCTCAAGGCCTCTCTTTCAGTGCCTGCCATGCCTACCCAGAGTGCTCAGCGAAGTAACGCTGTGGAGGATCTGGTGGCGCGCTTCAATGAGGTGAGGACTCTTGCTTATATAAAATGTGTGTGTGTTCACTGTTTCAGCTCTACTTCAATCCTAACATGCTCATGTTTTAACCTTTTTGTATGCAACCTCTAAGGGCTTAAAAGGTTGTGATGCAATCTTGCGCTATCAGGTTATATCTGACAAGCTCAGTTTTTAGTACAGGATTTAAGCTTGGGTGACTTGAGATCACTATGTGGAGTATTTTAATGGTGCGACTCCTGAATCCCTTGAACAGCTTTTGAAGCAGACCCTTATAGAAATGTTATCCATGTTGACAGAAAGCACTTCTTAACTATTGTGAAAATATAGAAAGAAAACAGTGCTCCAGTGAACTCTGGTGACCTCCACTTAATAATGACATCACCAGAGACAGTGTAAAGGCATACATTGCGATTTGACATGAATGTGACAGGCTGAAAAGCAGAGCAGACCATAATTTTGTTTTCCTTGAGTTGGGTTTGCGTTGCGGTATATGCCGTGTGAATCAAAACAGCTTATCAGCTCATGACTGATGCACACACTGTGCGTACACAAGTACACACACACACACGCTCACAGCGGTGTAAGTTGGCTGACTCTCCCGGGCTTTGTGTCTTTCATAGTGAGTGACTTTTAGAGTAAACAATCACAACACTGAACTGCTGAGACAGAGAAAAGTTAGAGAGGGAGAGATTGATTGGAAACGGTGATGTCATCTTTAAGTTACATGCCTCTCACATCAGCTGGTTTTCATTTAAGTCAGCGAGAAGAGAGAGACACACACAAAATCAAATGTGCATTGCAGCCATATATGGGCAGAATGGAACAAGAGTCAAATGACAACAGTGATTCTCCTCGTGAAGACACAGATGAAGCTGCTTCAAATCCTGACACAATCAGAAGAAGATGAGCTGCAGTCAGAGGCTTTTGTCTTATCTTTGAGTGTATGTCATTGTTTGTTATCCTCAGTGATTTTGGGCAGTGTTGTGTTATGTGTTATGTTAGAGATATGTTAAAGGATCTTAATGAATATTTCTTTACAAGTCACATTACAAGGAGTTGGTTTCTGTTTTTATTCTTTAACAACTCACAACTATTCATGGGTGTTTCAGTAGCTCATCGCATGGAGTATGTGCCAGGTGGGGCTGAGTCCTTGCTGCAGCGATCTGTGTTCGAGTCCAGCCTGGGGCTCTTTGCTGCAGGTCCTTCCCTCCCATACCTGTCTGACACTTTTAATAAAGCATGAAAAATGCAAAGAAATATTTAAAAAAAAATGTATTCTTTATTAGCACCATTACTAACCAAGCTGAAATGATTAGTACAGGGGTCTTCAACATTTTTCAGGCCAAGGACCCCTTAGCCGGAAGAGAAACGGAGCAGGGACGCACTACTACATATATTGTATAAAATTAATTTGCATTTTAAATTGGGCCTGCAAAAATATGTAGAGCAGCCTAATGTGCCAAGTATAAACATACCCTTTTATGGGGCATACCTGTACTAAACTATTGAAATAATAACTGTTGGCAGTTTCACATATTTGTACATCATGTTTGTGTCTGAGGTGGACAGTATGTCCACGAGTCTCTTGTTCGAAATGTTACAAAACCAGCCATCACGGCTCACCAGGATGTCCGTATACTTGTAATACTAATACAGCTAACTGGCCAATATGTTTTAATAGTACGTAACTGTTAGCTAACTAGTTCACTACATTATTTGGACAGGAACCGCACAGTGCTATAGCTAACATGATTGCACAAGGATTCATGGGTAGTAGCCGATCATCAATGTTGTGAACCGTAAATTAAAGGTATATAGGTTGACTTATCTTTGCTATTAATGTGTTGGATTCATCTTAATGTGTATTTTCAGACATAATTTTTAGATTATTATAACTTAAATGACCAAACACAGACCCCTTGTTGAGGACCCAGGGATTAGTAGGTTAATAGATGAATTGATCACCAAAAAAATTTATTATTTCAGTTTCTTTGCACATATACATGTATATAAAAAGACTTAAGGTTAGAAGCCAAAGGTGCCTTATGAATACACGTCCCCTATTGAATATAAATAGTCAAACTTTAAAAAAAGAAAAAAGGACACAGATAAAAAAATAAAGATTGGATAATTCATCAAAGTTTGAAACATTTTTTTAATAGATTTTATTTCTCAGTTTTTAACTAACAATACAAAAACACAGGCATAAGAAATACAGATTACATGCCAGTTCATAATGTGTCCACAGGAAGGTTGAGAGTTCCAAAAAAATTTTTTATTACAAAGCAGTAAAATAAAATTGATAGAAATGTAAAAAAAGTTTAGTGTTTAAAAGTTGAAATACATTGCAATGAAATCCACAAAGCCTCTGCCAACAAGAGTCCGTGAATTTAACATGATTGATTGCAGTAAGAGAAGTAGGTTGTTCCAAAAACCAACTATTATGAAAATCAGTTAATTTTAGCAACTTCTTAAACAAAAAATGTCAAAGTGTATTTCAGTTTCTAATATTTTCTTTTGAATAGCCTTCTGTGTTTGTAAACTGAAAATCTTTGGGTTTCTGCCTGTTGGTTTCAACAAAACAAGACATTTAATTGAAACAACTTTGGTCGTTGGTGTATTTTTTACTGGGTTTTGATCTCAAATTGAAATTTCCAAGTATGGATATTTCCAAAGCTTTGTTCCAAAAAGAGATATTCTCTACAAGGGACTGGACTGGATCCACAGTTTTGGAGATATTACATTATGAGCTTCGGAGTCTGGTGTCTTTCCTCACACTTGACAGACGACATTTTGTAAATTTAAATCAAAATTTCCCAAAAGTTACTCCTGATTTTGGCTGCATTCGTTTTCAAGCCATGTAAGGGAGTGAGAGATCACGCCGTTTAAAAGGAAGGGTGAGAACTTTGGGCCTCTTTGTGTCTGTCCGGAGTGGTTAGCTCTGACAGGACAAGCATGTTCTTGTGCGTTGACTTTGTCATAGCTCTCTGTCAACTTTGGTTATGTAATTCATGTATCAAGGACAAACTGACCCTCATAGTTCAACTAATAACACAGCCACAGATGGAGACAGACAGACAGACAGACAGACAGATGGACTCATACACAAACATCAAAAGGGGGATCAGCTTGTACCTAGCTCCGGTTCTGTTCGTGCATGTGTGTGTGTGTGTGTGTGTGTGTGTGTGCGTGTGCGTGTGTGTGTTTGAAAATTTGTCAAGCTGCTATTGATCATACCTCTGTTATGCATGTAAGGGAGGCTGTTGTTTCAGGAAGCATTTTGCACATCTCACTGTACTCCTATCTGTTCTTGTCTCTTGTTTGTTCTTTTCTGCTCCTCTGTTCCTTTACACGCTCTCACTCTCTCTGTCTTTTTCTGTGTATACATAGCATCTCTCTTCATATCCTGTCTATTATCTCTATTACACAACACTGAGTACACACTTAGGCTATCTGGAATATCAGAAGAGATGCCAACTCCGTAAAATGCCTTGATCTATGGCGGATCAAAAAGCCACTTTGCAGCTGGCCAGAATGGTTAAGATGGTGACTGTAATTCAACCCAGATGCTGACATCGCTATGTCATAACGCTAGAGGTGACTGATAGCAGATTTTCACGCAAGGCGAGCACATCCTCGCATGTACAGAGCAGGGGAGGAACAGATAAGACACTGTAAGGCAGCAGGGTTGTTTGTCAGTTAGCCACACACAGTAGATTCTAGTATAACTGAAGCATAAAAGAGTAGAGACACATAGTTAAAGTCCCTCTTCAGACACATTCTAAAGTACACAGAAAGTACTCTGATATAATCAATATTTTGTTCATCATGGATAAAAAATAAACAACAACTCCTGGAGCGTGGACTGGTAGCTGGAGAGGTGCCAGTTCACTTCCTGGGCACTGCCGAGGTGCCCCTGAGCAAGGCACCGAACCCCCCAACCGCTCGGAGCTCCTGTCATGGGCAGCTGACATCAGCTCTGACATCTCTCCACTTAGTGCACGTATAGGTCCAGTTTGTGCATGTGTGTGTTCGGACCTGTGTGTAATTGACAACAGAGTGAAAAATTTAATTTCCCCTTGGGGATTAATAAAGTATATAAAATTAAAAAAAAAAAAAAAAATTAAAAAAACTACAGCTGCTTGTGCTAGGTTTCACTTTGCACTATTAGCGCTAATTTGACTGTTGAAGAAGCAGTTAGCGTCTAGATGGCTATTGTTAGTGTTAGAGGAAACATTGGAGAGATTCAGCTAAACATGTTTGAGCCTCAGTCAGACCCAGACTCAGATGAGAAGTCTGTTGAACACCAAAATCTGCAACTGGCAGACATATTAGAATGATAAGTTAAGTTAGCATCTTTTTTTTTTTTTGTTTATGTTGTTTGTTGGCTTGTTAGCTTGCAGGCTAACTGGCACAAGCTGACACAGCGTTAATGGTTGTGAAAGAAATAGTGATATTTGCTACAATGGGATTTTTGGTAGATATAGTGGAAGGAAGCTCCAGGGTCTAGTTTACATCCAAAAACTGCACACTGTACCACGCTCTCAAAACTTTTGGTATGCTAATGCTAACTCTGCTCTCTGTACCGACAAGTCCGCTCTGTGCTGGAGGTTTCAGGTCTGTTTGCCTGTGTTGCGTCGAAGTCGACATGTGTTTCCTGTTAGACAGCGATTGACTTTTGTAGTAGTGACGTACCTAATCTAGCTAGCCTGATTTTATGGAAATGTTCAAACATCGGGCAGCACGGTGATGCAATGGTCGGCATTGCTGCATCACAGCAAGAGGGTTTCTAGTTCAAACCCAGGATGGGGAAGCCCTTCTGTGTGGAGTTTGCATGTTTGCATGTTCTCCCTGCTCAGGCTTCCTCCCACAGTCCAAAGACATGCAGGTTAATTGGTGACACTAAATTGTCCATAGCTGTGAACGTGAGTGTGAATGGTTGTCTGTCTCTATGTGTCAGCCCTGTGATAGTCTAGCGACCTGTCCAGGGTGAACCCTGCCTCTTGCCCATTGTTGGAGCTAACCCCCCACGACCCCCAACAGGATAATAGATAATAAGGAAAATGAATGAATTAATTCATGTTCAGACATCACCCCCTTCAGCAGAGTAATGTTAAAAAAAAAACCTCTCTGGTGACAAACCTGGCACGGATACAAGTCAGTAAAGTCAAGGCCAGACATTTTAGGGCATATAAACATAAGACAGACATGTTTTTCAGTTGAAGGGGACTTTCCTGACAAAGATAATAAGATCTGATAGAAAGCTCCAGAACAACAAAAATAGACCTCGTGGCAAGTTTTCTTTTCTCATCTACTGTTTTCAAGGTCAAGAGAAAACCTTGATCTCATTTCCATTTTATTTCCAATCAACTGCATAATAGTTTCGTAGGAACAAGAAGGATAAGGAATTAGTGGTTGACGAGGAAGTAGGAAATTTCGAAGGAACGTGGTCCAACTTTAACTCAAGATTTATCTTTCTGTTTCTCAGTTGGGATAGATAAAGACGTTACATCAGTGAGAAGAGTTTAGAGGAGACAGTGAACTCTCTGAGGATGGTGGATTGAACTTTCGCAGTAACCCTCCCAACCCTCAGCCCTCCTCATGCCCACGCTCCTATCACACAGGAATGCATAAACTGGTGTACTTTCACTCATATTTTGATAGGGAGAAAAATGTGACACTTAACAAACCATAACACGATTATACACTGTAAGTGAGTTTTAAGAGTCTGACAAATAAAATTTAGCAGTGAAAGACTGTAGATTGTGTGTTTATGGAGTGAGTTATGTGTATGTATAAGCTCTTATCTAAGCTGCCTGTATATACTGTGTGTTAAACTGTATACTGTATGTGCCTCAGGGTGAGTATCTGTGGTCTCATGCATAGTGCATGTTCATGGGTCTGCATTCTGTACATAGGTATCGGGGTTTGGTTGCATGTGTTATGTATGAATTCTGTGCGTGCTTGTGAATGAATCCACTTAAAGGTCAGAGGTGAAAAATCACATATACCAGTATTTCATCACAACCTGAAACAAAAACTCTACGTGTGACTTCTTTATTACATGTTTTTGAGTGTGAGTGCATGTCTGTATTTAGTCCCTGTGAAGTCAGGTTGTGGTGAGCTTTACAGAGCCTTACATAACCTAGTAATAGATCTCTGGGCCAGGGGGATGTTTTTACCGCCTGCAAGGGGGTTAGGGAGTTTCTGTGTCTGTGTGTGTGTGTGTGTGTGTGTGTGTGTGTGTGTGTGTGTGTGTGTGCTTTTATGTGTGTGTGACTACATTCATGAGGCTTTAACACATAGAGACAGAGACACTAGAGAGCAAGAAACAGCCAGATTGAAATCTGATCTTTTCCTGCATTGTGTATGTGTCAGTCGCAGAGAATGTGAAAGGAAGCTGACCCTGATACATATCTGGTTCTTTCATCATGTCTTTTGCGCGTGCTGGAGGGCAGTGAGCGCAGAGACACAGTGCTGCTGATACGTATCTGATGTGTACGTGTCAGCGTGTGGCCAACTGGCATGGTCCTGTGCATACATGACCACTTTAGACACAGCTCGTCATACCAGACTTTAAGAGAGATAACATGAGCACAAGTAAGACCACACACACAATAGCTTCAGGTGGCCGTCACTTGGCTGTGGACTTTGTCTGCAGTTTGCTGGGTTTTGACACACCAAGTAACCGCATTGTAAAACACACTAACACTGACAAAACAACTGTCTTAAACTAAACATGTTTTCCAAACAAATATAACATGCTAACCTTATTAGCACAAGCCTATGGAATTTTACATTGTATAAATTAGCCTAGCGACGAGCAGAGATTTCCTCTGCTGGAGGCTTCACTGTCTTCACAATTTATTGTTTCTTATCTGTGATATTAAAGTAAATAAAAGCTTCATTTCCACTGAGGGAGATGGTTTCACATTACAATAATAGACGGGGGTCTACGTTGCCTCGACTTGTAGTTACATTTCTGGGGAGGTGCACGTTGGGCTATGCCATAGGGTACGGCGTAGGCTCTACGTCGACGCAGAGCATACGTCGTAGGTACAGCATCGATTCTACGCATAAGTATAAATCCCGCGTTACAAGTTATCCTAGGCACATGAAGTTAACCCCCAGATTGTCCAATTAGAAATATCCAGTAATATATATGCAGCACACACAGATATTTTATCACTAGAGAGGGCTCATTTTTTTCATTGGTGATAAAACTTGCGTTCAAGCTGCCCTCCAAGAGTGTTACTGTTTGTTCATCATTTTTAATGTGATAGTAACTGTTAATAATATGATGTCAAACTCTTTATCACCAGGTGAGTTCGTGGGTGACGTGGTTGGTCCTGACAGCAGGGTCCATGGAGGAGAAGAGAGAAGTTTTCTCCTACCTGGTCCATGTCGCTAAATGCTGTTGGAACATGGGAAACTACAACGGAGTCATGGAGTTCCTGGCTGGACTCAGGTTTGAAGACAAGACATTAATTCCAATATGCTCACATACTGTATGCGGGGATACCTGCTCACACTTCCCCAACTGACATTTGAAGCTTTCTTTGTCCTCCAGGTCCCGCAAAGTGCTGAAGATGTGGCAGTTTATGGATCAGTCAGACATCGAGACCATGAGGAGCTTAAAGGAAGCCATGGCTCAGCACGAGTCTTCCTCTGAGTACAAGAAGGTTGTGACCAGAGCGCTTAATATTCCAGGATGCAAGGTAGGTTGATATTTGATATTAGTTTATCATGTGGCCCTATAATAGTTCACATTATTTCTCACTTGTCTGTCCACTGGAATAAAAAGGTTATAGTACAATAACAGCCATAATGGGATGTGTTTTTGTCCTGTCCTGAAGGTGGTGCCATTCTGTGGGGTTTTCCTGAAGGAGCTGAGTGACGCGCTGGATGGGACAGCGAGCATCATCAGCCTCAAACCACCTGTGGACAATCCAGAGGACTCAATAGAGGTATGGTAAACTCCCACAAACATACACACATCTCACATAACTGACTCCAGCAGTAAGAATCAGACATGTTAGTATAATTCATCCTACTCTGCTTTTCCTGTCGTCCTCTCTCTAGTTTGTGTCCGATTATAGCGGCCAGCACAACTTCATGTCGCGATCTGGTCCAGACGGACTACACGTCCCAGAGAAAGAAGCTACTGTCAGCAACATCCTCCAGATTATCAGGTACACGAACTCTTTGAAAGTGTTTTCAAAAAGTAAACTATGGAGTGTGGGTGCCACTTTTTTTGCTCACTATTTAGCTTTGATCTCAGATTTTCTCACAGTTTATTCTCCTCTTTCTGCTCAGATCTTGTAATCGTAGTTTGGAGGCAGAGGATCCTGATGAGACGTCCACCAGTCCCTCTTCTACTGGCCCATCCCCTGCGTCCAGAAACAACTCCTTCAGGGACCGCTGCCGCAATCAGTCAGTACCCACTTTTTCCCTCTCGTATTGCCTGGCACATAAGATTATTTGCATTTTGTTTACCCCTTCAGTGTGCAGCTCCAGGTACCACACAGCAACTCTGGAGCTCATAAAAATGAGTGACTTGCTTATGAAAACCATAGAGGGGAGGATGTTTTCTGTAACAGGGTCTTTAAATCATCCAGGTGAAGGATGATCTGAGGGGGATGTTGCGTAAGTCGTGACCAAGCTTATGAGATAGACAGTACAGTATCAAATGGCACACAGTATCTGACCCAGTCCATCAAAACACTGGGACATCACGTATCTGCTGACTGCACACAGTAGTGTTTAACTGTATTTCTTAATGCTGATGTCTTTTTTTATTCCCTTGTGTGTGTGTGTGTGTGTGTGTGTGTGTGTGTGTGTGTAGGGTGAGTTTTTCAGTCTGAATCATTCTCTGTGATCTAAAAGTATATAATATACACATTATTACGGTATGTTAAAGGAATACTTCCCCAACCAAATGACCATTTGTTTATCATTAACTCACCCTGTGTTACGTTGAATTTGGTGTTTTAAGGGGTAAGTTCAGATTCACCAAAGTCACACAAACTAACTTAAAGATAAAAAACAACAAGCTTACTCAGAGTGTAAGTCCATAGTACAGGCAGGCAGTCCAAAAATGCATGTGAGGCACTCTGACTGTTGTAAAAAATCCTGTATTTGTATGTGGATAAACCAACACATGTCGACTAGAGAGTCTTTATCAGGGTGTGCAGTTTAAGAGCTCATGTGAGGTTCATGTGACACAGGTCATTTGATATATTGTTATAGCCCTAGTAGACAACAAAAACAGCATTGACAGAAATTGCAAATGAAAATGAATAATTAAGATATTTAGTAACAAGAAAGAAGGTTCAATACCAAATAGATTGTGACAAACCTGCACATAAAGTGGCAGAACCTGAGAAATATAAGATATATATATAGGAACAAAAAACAGTATGTGTGAACAGACAAACATAAAGTTGCAATATTTATAAAGTGTTAAACTCATGGTAAGTAACCAGCACTAACTAACTGATCAAGGCAGTGGTAGACCAGCAGCTTCAGTGTTCAGTGAGGTAAAATTAATGCTTTTGTCAATGGAGTCTGGTCCCAAGGAGAGCTTTCACTTCAGTTTTAGATAGTAAGGTTTTGTGAGAATGCAAGTGTTTTTGCAAAGTACTGAGCATGTATCTAGATAAAGGAGACTTGGAATATTAATTTAACATGAGTTGAGTAATTTATATACAAATGGTCAGTTGGTGGGGTGAGGTATTCCTTCAAGGCAGCCAACATTTTTGGCGAGCAGCTCCTTTAAGGCAAACTGGAGCGATTCTGTTGTCTCGCACTTTGACCCTTCCTGCCAAAGGTCTGTTTCAGAATGAGGTCTTTATTTCCTGTTTGTTTGCAGACAATGACTCATGACTCATAGACAAAGAAAAAAAAAATGGTCTGTTACATCCAGATTTCCATCAGAGCTATGAATATTGCCATGAATGATTGGCATGGCCGGTTTTAGCAGTTAGCTGTTTCTGAAAACGACACAGCCGCCTCTTTGAATAAATATGGCAACTGCAATGTGATGATTTTTAAAAGACTAAAAGTTGGATTTAATGCCAAAATATGCTTCTTGAAAAACACAGTGTTCACAGTATATTAAGGGTGTACATGGACATTTTGCATTCAAAGCAAAACCACATTCACAGCAACATTTCTGAGGCCACATGAACCAAACATTTTACAGTAAATCCCATTGTTCCGAGTCATTCCATTTCTTCTCTCACAGCGCAAATACCTTTCATAAACACCGGCACAAGATAATGGCTTTGTGAAGGAACACATCTGCAGATTGTTATTGAGATGAGGTGATGTTCACATAAACTCCTGTGTCACAGAGATAAAAGATAACAGGTTAGTTTTCCTGTCAGGACAGGAAGGAGCAGGGCTCTGGTACTTTTCAGCACACTGGTGGCAGGTGGCTAACGGCACAAGCTGGAGTTTGTTGTGAGAAAACTCATTTCATTTCGAGGGTGAGCTGTGGTGTTCGTCTTTAAGGAGACCTGGATTATCTTGTCTGTGTTTCTGGACAGTTTTGTCTGACTCTGAGTTATTAGTTCACCTTAGAGCTCAGGATAACAACTCTTGTTTCATTTTGGCTCGGGGTACGGTGGTCATTAGTCTGCACTGGGATGCAGATAAATATTATCTTTCCTTTTCAGAGAGGTTTAAGAATTCTGTTTCTGTGTTCCTGACCTTTCCCACTGGCATCCTCGTTTTGCTGTTTTTCTCTTCACTTCTGTTCAGAAACCTCTCTGTCTCTTTATTTATCTCACACTTCCTCTTTTTTTCTTTGTCCCCTTCTCCTAATATAGTTCCCATTCAACTAAGACACTGCCAGAATCAAACCGTGTCTTGTAAGTGGTTATAAGAGAGCTGGAAGTTGTTTAAGTGTCAGTTTGTGTAGAAGCTTGTTTAGTAAATAAGGAATGTGCGATGAAAAATGCATGATGCTTTTTGTGTTCGTTCAACCGATGCACTACAGTACAGAGGACAATTGTGTCTCTTACTGTAGATGCAGGTCATTTTTGTCGTTGTCGTTGTTTACCTCATCTGCTGCTGTTTGGAAATCAGTAAACTAAAACTTTGTAATTCCGATATTAAACTTATATATAGATATTTTAAACTCTTTTCCCATTCTGCATATCTGCCCTTGGAACTACGCATCTTCAGATTCATGGTGGGGGATTTGTCGGATTCCGAGGGCGACTTGTCGTCTGAGCCGGTGGTGAAAGAGGTGGAGTTTCAGGGGACTGAGGAGACGCACAGAGCTTTCAGCCATGGCACTGAGCTCATTCCCTGGTATGAGACACACATTTACACACACACACATTCACACACTCACATATAACTCAACAGACACTCAACACATTTTGTACTTTTCTTTTCCTAGGTACGTGTTGTCGCTACAACCAGATGTACACCAGTTTTTGCTGCAGGGGGCTACAGTCATCCACTACGACCAGGACAGCCACCTCACTGCTCGCTGTCTGCTGCGACTACAGCCTGACAACACAACGCTCACCTGGGGTAAACTATGACAGTGTCCTTATAAGAAAGCAGTATGATCTAGCAGACATGAGTTATCACTGGTCATTAAGTTTGCCATACTGATTCATGTAATAATATATGTTAGTTTACTGCGTTACAGTATTCTGTTGTTTATCTTTTTATTTTCCTTCAGTTACAGAAAAAGATATCCAACAATATTCGTTTGCTTCACGGGTGCACAGGCTTCAGAAAATGTAAACCCAGCTGAGTACGATTTTGTATGAAGGGTCTTGTAATAAGCGTTAATTAATAGGTAATAATGCCTCTATTAAGGCCTTATAAGATGCTAATTAGCATTATGTGTTAATAAGACTCTATAAGTGGCAATAATAGCATAATAAACATGTTTACTGTTGATTGTAAGATGTTTATAAACATGTATAAGAAACTTGTCAACAATTTAAAACTACTTAAAGGTAAGCAATGCAGGATTTTCTTACGAACAATGTATAGACTCATAAGCAAGTAATCCCTCCTAATCATTACTTAAGAGCCACTAGAAGTGTGAGGCAGTGTGTTTTCTTGCTTCCTGTATTTTCTTATGTCTTTGTTAGAGACATTTATGGCCGTGTAACCCCATGGTGATCAGTTGAGGCTTTATTAAAAGGTAGCGACCAGGTGCCAGACCATAAGCAGCAGGCATCCAAGAACCACAGCACTGAAAAAACACACATTTAGTGAGGTGAAACGCCAAACAAGAGTAAATCTGGGGTTGCATTTTACTTTCACTTTCTCTGGTGAGCCTGTTTATTAACAGTAACCACCACCCCTGCATAGTATACCTTTCAGAACGTTAATCAAAGCCTTATTAGTTGGTAATAATACTTTATGATAGCATCATTTATTGAGTCCTTGTTAAGATTAATACAGACTGCATTATGCAACTTACAAACTTGTTGTCTGGGGTTTATATAACTAACACTCTTGGTGTATTTTCATAATATATATGATTTCCAGCAGTGAGTTTACCATAGTGCTTTCTAAAGGATTATTTAGACGAAGTGTGTGCTCAGGTGAATGTGTTAAAAAGGACTTGAATGAACAGCTTTGTCATCAGTACAGTTTAAGACGAGTGTGTTTATACCTCAGAGAGACAAGCCCCGTTTCCTCTCTCATTATTACTGTTTAAACAAAAGGAAAACAGGCATCCATCATATATAAAGGCGTATTTCCTGTGTCGTTATTATGTTAAACAAAACTTAAACATGTTAATGGATGGTAGGTAAGCACCATGTATTTTGTAACACATACATTTTAAGCTGGTTGTAAATGTTGCGCAAATTCCTATGGCTTTACTACATTTCAAACATATCGTAAATGTGTTGATTCATGGCAGGTAAGCCTCAGAGCGGAGGGGCTTCCCCCACAGAGCAACCACTGGGATTAGGACAGACTGTGGTGGCAGGACTAGCAGAGGGCCTTCTGGACCTGGGAGTGGTGAAGGTTTGTTAGAAAGCTTTATTTATCATTTATTTGCACTGTGTAAATCTGCATCTTTAATGTCATTTACTACTGGAAGACTGTTGATTTATCTTGTACGATTAGTTGTCATTTTTGTGTTTGAGCAGCATTTGATAGTTGTGAGTAAGACTTCACACTTCAAAACTATGTTTATTTGAATCTCCAGGCGGTGTTCCTGGGTCATCAGGGAGTGGACATCCACGCTGTATGTTTGCAGAACAAGCTGAGCCAGCTGACAGTGGAGGAGAACGGTCTCAGTCTCCTCTATGGCCTCAGCACCACTGACAACAGGTTAACACTCCACTTTGAAATCCACTACTGCATTGGTACACTGAAACATGGCTAAAAAATCATGCTTCTTGTTACTAAATATTTTAACTCATCTCTAGACTCCTGCACTTTGTGGCCCCGAACCACACGGCACGGATGCTCCATAAGGGCCTGTCTGAGTTGGTGAATGCAACCAGAAAATTAAAGAAGTTCCCTGACCAGAGGTTGCAGTGGCTGAGGAAACAGTATGTCAGCTTGTATCAGGTAAAGTCTGACCTGGATGATGTTTCCTTGACTGTTCTTATACACCTTTACTTCCATAAGTGTCTGAAGTAAAAATGCATGGATTTAAAGTGGCCAGCAAAGGTGATACAGGATTTAGTGAAAGCAAAGAGTTGTAATTGGTGTATTTTGAAATTTGCATTGCCATGCAATGGCCACCGAAAGGAAAGCTTTTCAGCTTTACTGTTTTTCTCTTTTTCTTAATTGGACTTTCTGTCTAATAACGCCAACTTTTAAACATCCCAAAACATTTAAAAGTGCCTCTAAATTCCAGAGAGCCTGGGAAAAGTGTCGTGTGATCTGAAATAGTGTCAGTAGTGTGTCATTTTGAACAAATTTCACTTTCTATATGTTTGTAGCACTGAGAAATGATGGAAACTTTGATTCTTAGATTCTTTTATGACATCCCTTTTAAGTAATTTCTAACATCCTCTTTCTGATTTTCTTTTATCTGTTCCCGTTTTTTTCTTTACTTTGATTTGTTTTCATCATGTTTGCACCCTTCATTACATATTACTTATTATATGCCTCAACTGAGAAGCACTTACGGTTAGCTCCTGTTATTTTTAAATCTACTATATACATAAAACTGACTGGACTTGAGTCACCCCCATTTAACCCCTGTGTTCGCCTACTTCCTGTCCGTCTAATCCTCTGCTTCTGTATGTTTGTCTCTGTTAGGAGGATGGCAGGTACGAAGGCCCCACACTAGCTCATGCCATTGAGCTGTTCGGTGGGCGGAGGTGGAACATGGGCACAGGTGGAGTGGAGAAACCTGCCGCCCAGAAAAACAGCCCTCTGAGCATCAACGATAAGACCAAGAAGAAGAAGAAGGTCCTCGTCAGGGTCAGTACAAAAGAAACTTAACTGTGCCCATCACTCTACATTTAGCTCAGACTCTCATCAACAATGAGTGAGCAGGCAAACCTCAGTGTATCACAGGTACACTTGTGAACTGTCATTTGTTATGTTTAACATAATGTACGTTTACACAGGGAGACAGTGGAGACGCCACGGATGATGAGATGTTCTCCAGGAAAACCCGGAGCTGTAAGGAGGGACTGTATCGAAACGGACCGGAGTCTGACAGCATTGACCAAGAAGATCCAGGTGACATTTTAAGGAGCTATTAAGAATAAAATATCACTAAATGTGTGCCAAGTGAGGATGTAGCTAGATTATTACACCCATGAATATCGTTAGTAAGTTACATGGCCAGATGTAATTTGAAGAATAAAACAAGCTATTAACAGATTATTTTCTATGGCACTGTAAGATTTTTATTTACCCTCACTCCTCTTTGACTCCACAGAGGACAGCTTCCCTGGACCATTCTCCCTCTCATCCAGTAAAAGCCCTGGATTGCTTGCCTCTTCTTCCTCCTCCTCCTCTTCCTCCAGCATGGCAGGGTCCAACCATTCTCGCCCACAATCCTCTCCCATCCTCTCCGGAACTGTCAGGTCACAGCCAGGGTATGTACAGTTCTGTATATGAAGACTAAAGGTGTGAAAGTCTTAGTGTTTCACTTAGGTTAAGATGTTTTGTCTTGTCTCTGTGGGTCGCAGGGCGTGGAGCAGCAGGTCGTGGCACGGTCGAGGGAAAAGCTGCCTCAAAGGCTTCCAGAATCTCATGATTTCTGACAGCACGATGAGCTTCATCGAGTTCGTTGAGCTCTTCAAGTCATTCAGGTAGATACCCAAAATTAGTCTGCTTTTGTTTTTTGTTTTACACTTTTGGTGCAGTAAAGTATCAGCAGAAGATCAGGTCCCTAAAGCAGAGATTCACATACCAGCTTGGCAGGCTTAATATAATGTGTCGCATCAAACACATTTATATCTGGTTAAATGTAATAAAATGTCATTCAGTATTGACATACTGTACATGTTCTGTTCATTTCTATCATCTCACTCCCTCTTCTTATACAACCATTGTGTTCTAATCAAATGCAACTAAAGACAGTATGATAAAACAAATTCAACAAATGCTTCTCGAGTTTATCATGTCTGGGAACTTTTCCAAGGATTCTACTCAGTATAATATTTAGCTTCTGCAATATTTTTCCCCGTCAAATCAAAGGAAACAATGTTTTGCCTTGATAAGCAGCGGATTATTCTCATACCAGTCCTCCTTCATTTCTTAGATTGCAGTGAATCCTCTCATCTGCTGCCCAGCAGCTTCCTTTTGAATTCCACGATTGTGTGTGATTCCATGTGGAAAAAGTTGAAGTACAGCCTCTCAAAAATTCTTCTGATGTTTTTAGCTATCTGAACATTGTCTGTCCAGTGACTAAATGAAAACCTTCCAAACCCTGCATCAGTTTGTTATCATGAACAAAAAGAGGAACTCGTACAAGGGACAGCAAAATGAAATACAAACAAATGACACCTGCCTTGATAGGAAAACGAAATATTACAACAACAGAGGTATCTCACTATAGGATAAGCCCCTCGGCGTATTCCTCACAAGCCTAATACTATTATGTGACGACTGCATTAAGAGAAGGAACATCCTACTCCTATAAAAGGGGTGATGCAGCATCACCAGCTCACTCATGATATCAGAGAACCGGGGTTACCTTTGTAACCTAAAGACTTTTAATATGTGACTTTTCATGTGGTCTTTTTTTTTTTTTTTCTTAATGAAATTTTATAATTTTTTCACATTAATTACAACATCATCATTTATGTTACAGTCCTGAGCTTGATAAAATAATAAACAGTTGAATATTACTGTAGGAAAATTAGTAAAATAACAATAAGAAAAAATAATGAAACAAACAAATATGAAATGAAATTAAAGAAAGGGACAAATAAATTAAGAAATAGGGGGTAGTAGGGGTTGAATCATAAAGTGTTCCCGACACACTCATTGTTTATATGCAAATAATTCATAAAGTGAACATCGGTATGGCCTCTGGAGCTTTCCTGTCTATTGTTGTAGTGCTTCCTCTTTGCATTCAGTCCCTTAGATTACCAGGTAAGCAATTTATCAGTGGCTACTGTGCATTTATAAAGCTGCTGTCATTTCCCCTTTTTTAACCCTGAGTCTTTCAGTGGAAAGTACTTGAAAGATTTCTTTATACTATTGCGCTACCACTGTTTCTTTCTTGGATCCGGTTAGATAGTATGCACTTCCTTTCAAGGAAAAGAAGTTTCTTTAGCTCCTAGATCTTTGGGGGTCTCAGACTCTAGCTTTGGATGGTAGTCCCAATGAAAACACGATCTTTACAAATATTACATGAAAGAATTGTACTCAACTTCTTTGCCCTACATGGTCAGAACTCCCAAAAACAATTCATGTAAGATTCATCTGACACATTAAATATCCACTCAGTGCATAGAGAAAAGAAACTATAGAAAACTATTTTGTCTGCAGTCTAACACAGTGCTTCTGCACTTCTGTGTCCGAGGTGTAAAACTGGAATCCTTAAATGCTGCTTGTCAGTCTAGGGTGGCTGAATGGGAACTGACCTCTGTTCTGTGTTTATATCCTTCACAGCATCCGTAGCAGGAAGGACCTGAAGGAGCTGTTTGACACCTTCGCTGTCCCCTGCAGTCGTTCAAGTCCAGAGTCGGCTCCTCTCTACACCAACCTCAGCATAGACGACAAAGACACGGGGCTACAGCCAGACCTCGGTAAAAGAGCAAACAGTTGCATTCATTTTATTTGTTGTTAGCGGTCAGACTTCTTTCTCCTTTCCCCTCAGCTAATCTCTTCCTCTCCTTTTCAGATCTATTAACCCGCAACGGTTCCGATCTTGGTCTGTTCATCCGGACGAGGCAGCAGATGTCTGATAACCAGAGGCAGATCTCAGACGCCATTGCAGCAGCCAGCATCGTGACCAACGGGACCGGAGTGGAAAATGCCTCACTTGGCGTTTTGGGATTGGCTATCCCTCAACTTAACGACTTTCTAGTCAACTGTCAGAGAGAGCACCTGAGCTATGACGAGATCCTCACCATTATACAGGTAGAGTTGGAAGGAATGGATGACTGCACTTAAAAAGTTTTTGGATGGAGGCCCTTTACTGTAGTTAGGGACTTAGAGAGGGATAAGATAATGTAGATTTGTGAATATGACCAGACAAATGGATAGAATACAGATGAAAGAAACCTGAGACACAAGGAAGGAAGAGGGACTATTGATCAATAATGATAATTAATTGTTTTATTATTTTGTCTTGCAGAAATTTGAGCCATCATCGAGCATGAGGCAGATGGGTTGGATGTCATTTGAAGGCTTTGCAAGGTAAAGAACAAATCAAAATACATTGCACATTCATGTCCGCACTGAAACACAATTAAAGTTCATACTGAATCAATAACCCATAAAAAACTACATTACATACTGTATCATAAAACAGTGGGAGTTAAAGTTTATAATTTAAATGGACGTACGATATGATAACATTGTAATCAGTGCAATAGCATAATGTATTATCTGATCGTCCCTCTCTCCATACCAGGTTCCTGATGGATAAGGAGAACTTTGCTTCTCGTAATGAGGAATCCCTGATAAACCCAGAGGAGCTGCAGTACCCTCTGTCCTACTACTACATCGAGTCTTCTCATAACACCTATCTGACTGGACACCAGCTCAAAGGAGAGTCCTCTGTTGAGCTGTACAGTCAGGTAAGTCGGCCTTTCTCCTGTTTGACTCACATTTTAAGGTTGTTCTGGACCCATAACTTCCATTTTATATGTTGTATATTCAGTCTAGCGTTGGGTAACATTCACATTTTAACCAGTAATGGCACCTGGAATTTAGTACAGGTACCCAATGTTACCTTTTTGGATACTTTTCTGTCTCTTTAATAACAAATATGTGATTCTGTGGCATCACAAACCAAAACAGAGTCTGCTGCTTTCTGGCTTTGTCCAGGGACCGCACACTCTGCTCCTCCTGGGTTACAAATATGCAGATAAATATATTTATTCATTCCCTTTTTAATGGGCACCAGTGAGGAGCAGTGGGCATTGCTTCTGGTCATGGTTGCGTCCATGAAATGCGGCTGAGATGCGAGTCTGCACGAATCCACTGCGGACAGCTGCATAGATTAAAATGAGAGCTTATCTGTTGCATGAGATGTGCGAGTGAAAAACACATCTGATACGCTTGCTGTGTAGATACAGGGAAGGTTTCCACTTGGCACTGCTGCACTGCATTCTGGCTGCGGCCCTGCTTTGTTTGTTAGATCCTCTATTGTCTGGAGTGGCTAGTCACTAGATGTGCTCTCAGGTACCACAATTGGGCACAGACTGATTTAACATGAACCAGTACTTGGTAGTACGGACATAATTTGGTTGATACTCTTAAAAACATAGGGTTTTAGTTCCCAAACCTATTCCTGTCTGATGATTTAATGTAATTTTTCACCAGGTGCTGCTGCAAGGCTGCAGGAGCGTCGAGTTGGACTGTTGGGACGGAGATGATGGCATGCCGGTTATTTATCACGGACACACACTCACCACTAAGATACCCTTCAAGGTAAGGAATGCATATGAATAATTTAATTCAGAAAAGAGATGACCATTGATTGGAGGAAAAAAAAAACTGTCAATCAATCACTGGCTCTCCTTGCTTTCTGCTCCTTGGCAAAAGTTTCCGGAGCCATATCGCCAAACAAAAATTGCACTGCTGTATGTTGCTCTTGAGGGCCGTATCAATACTTTATATTTTATGTAATGGGAGTTCGACAAGTCAGAGTCCTCAAACAACCTGTGTGTTATCTGATGATGGAGCTAAACCCAGTATGTTTTTTATTTAATTTTTATTTAGCCAGAAAAAAACTCTTGAGATTAAAAATCTCTTTTTCAAGAGTGTCCTGGCCAAGACAGGCAGCAACATAAGCTGCAGACAGCATAGAGCAATATAGATTTTTGGCTGTTCCTGTCGAAAGATGACCAGCGTAAAAGCAACGTGGTGATATCTTTGGTCGTGATCCCATATCGTACGGTGAGAGAGGTTCAAGGATGGCCTTTGTCACTGTCTTGCGATCACAAACAACTTGGGGAAAAAATTCTGACTGTCACAAATTTGGAATGACCATCTCACTGCGTGACTTCTGTTACAACCTACATCTCCTAACCAGTTAATAGAAACGCAGCATAAAATGACGCACCGATCAGCGCGACAATGCTAAATGCTAGTAGATGCTAATAAATACACTTAGAGCTCTTGTTGCATAATTCCTCTTCATCCTCTTCCTCACACTTTTCTGACACACATAAATACCACTATAGCAAGAGCACAATTCATGTTTGTTTTTATTTTTCTCTTTGGATGATGCACGCTGATGGCGTTTTGTTCTTGCGTACTGACATCGATGGACATACGTGGTAGCCTGCGATTCAGTAGGCGCTGTCATTGTACAGTCTGCATACATCAAACTTGTACCCAAGTTTATTAGATCCACGTCACACAGTGTAGCTGGGGCTGTTTTAGTAAATCTCATTAGTATTGGTTTCCACTGAGTTTCTTTCAGAGTCTCAGATTGACTGTGGAGTGCCGTTTCTAAGATTGAAATCTCTCCTATGATCCTCCAGGACGTGGTGGAAGCAGTAAACCGGTCTGCGTTTGTCAATTCGGACATGCCTGTCATCCTGTCCATTGAGAACCACTGCTCCCTTCCACAGCAACGCAAGATGGCTGAAATCTTCAAGGTATGACTGCAGCTGTGTGTAAAATCTAGACTACGCATAAATATACAAGACACAAATTTCCTCGTCAGTGTCTGTAAATGTGTGTGTTTTCCATTCTGATTAGTGACAAGTCATTAGTGTGTGAGAGTATATTACACATCCCATAGTACTACCTTCTTAAGCACTTGGAAGGGCGGCTCCATCTGTGTTGTTTTCTGGGTTTTTTAAATGAAACCTCCACTCAACTGTTAGCACAAAGTAGTGACGTAGGTTAGAGCAGCGAGGGCTGGTAGTGACAACTGAAAGGATTCATTTGGATTTTTTGAAGTGGGGTTGTATGAGGTACTTATCTATAGTCATTGTAGACCACTTTGCCTTGCTGTCAGACAGACCTTTGACAGAAACAGTAATTGTAGAAACTGCTACAGCCACACTCCTTCAGGTGGGAATGTTTTCCTCAGTGACACTTGTAACAGCACTTTTTTTTTTAACAAGGCTAGAACTTATTCTTTGCCCGGATTTTCTTAGCTGCTGTGGGCATTCGAACTGGCTGACTTCCAGCCAGAGGCTTGCTTCTCTAATCTTCAGACTCCTCTTTCTTTTTTAAGTTGTATACTCAAAGGCCCACATATCTGGGCATGACAGAAACATCATGGAATATCATTGGGCTTTCATCTAACAAAACTCCCAGCATCCTATCCTCCCTGGAGACTGACTTCTTCTGAGTGGCTTGATTTATAAACGTCTTTCATGTGGAGACAGCTCTGTGCCTCCGGCCAGCTTACGTCACCGTGGGCTTGTTTATTTGCAGTGTTGTTCTGTGTTGATAAAAGCACTTTTACTTTATTCTCTTCCTCACGCTTCACATCATCATCATATAGTTGGACATCACTATTGACTGTCTGTCTGTCATGTTTGAATATTTATCCATCAGACCGTGATTGGGGAACGTCTCGTGACACGCTTCCTCTTTGAAAGCGACTTCAGCGACGACCCTCACCTGCCATCTCCGCTGCAGCTGCGGGGGAAGATCCTCCTCAAGAACAAGAAGCTCAAAGCGCACCAGGCACCGGTGGACATCCTCAAACAAAAGGTCTAGAAGAGAAAGGCATCCTGTCAACACATATAAACATGAACATAATTTATATTTAGCAGGTAGCATTAGTACATTCAATATTTAGCAGTGTTGATTAGAGTGCTGTCACATAAATAATAGATGCTAATGTGCTTCAGTGTACACCTCATCACACCATTTTCACTTAGTTTACCTAGCACACATAATGTGCTTCAGTATATACACATCCTCTGTAGACAAGAGCTCGTATATATGCAGGTAATGGGTTGCTATAGATCAAATGTCAGATACAGGTATATCTTTATGAATATTAGTTATTCTCACACAGTTTTTCTTTTAAATGCAGATTCTTACTTTGCAACAAGGCAGTGTATTAGGGCCATTTAAAGTTAAAAAAATAAAGAAAAGAAAAGAAAGAGCCAGGGGAAAGGGGTTATATTCTGAAAAATAATCCTCAGTATTGCCAAGATTAAAGTTATGAATTACGAGAAAAACAACTTGAGTATTCTTGTTAACTCGTGAATTTTTTTTTACCTAATCAGGTCATATATTATGTCATTGTTATACCAATTTGATCAAATTCGTAATTTGGGTAATTTAATCTTGGAGTACGTTCTCAGAGTTTTTTTCTTGCAAATCATTGACTTTATAATGACAGAGAATAGCTTTTTTTTCTTGTAAATACATGAGTTATTCTTTTAAATTGATCTTTTTTTTCTCCAGAAATTTACAACTTTTCTTTCTGACAATTTCAATGATTTTTTTTTTTTGGTGCAAATTTATGACGTAATAATATCAGAGAATATGAGTTTTTCTGGTAAATTTACAACGTTAAGTTTTTCTTTCCCAGAAATTTGCAACTTTAATATCAGAGACTTTCTGAGTTTTTTGTTGCGTACTAATGACTTTATAATATAACTGTATAATTTATATTGTATAATATATGCATTTTTCTTAAAGAAAAAATAACTCTTTAATCTTAGAAAGTTTTTTTTTTCCCAGTAATTTATAACTTTAATCTGGGAAATTCTGAGTTTTTCCCTCAGAATATTACCGTTCTCCGCTGACCGTGTAATTTTTATATTTTTTGTCCTTTAATTTTTTTACCTACAAGGGTCCTAATCCGCAGCCATATTGCTTTCTGTATTTTAACCCTTTCACAGGCTCACCAGCTGGCCCACATGCAGGCCCAGGCCAGCAATGGGTCACCAGGGGTTACTTCGCCTAGCAACCACACCAATGAAGAAGAGGAAGAAGAAGAAGACGAGTACGACTACGACTATGAGTCTCTATCAGATGGTAAGGAGAACTGCAGTGGAGTTTAGGATCCCTGGAAACACACCTCATAAGCATGAAGCTAACCCGAAACTGATTTCCACTGATTGTCTGGCTACAATACAACTTAAATCATATGTTCATCTTATGTTTTAACCCTTGAATCAGTTTCTGTTCACACTTTTTCTGGCTCTTTTTTTTAACACTCAAGTCTCTCTTTATGTTGGTGATCTATTCTCACTCTTTTCCTTTCCTGATTTATCTCACCTGTTTTCCACTTAGCTGACGTCCTCACAGCCTCTACTGCCTCATATGGCCTGGAAGGTAATTGCACGGCTCTGATGCGCCTCTCTATGTACCAGTGTTTCCATCTCACTTTGTTTTGCAGTGGTAGCTGGTGGTCTTTGGCTGATTCATTTTGTTAATTGGTGATAAGTTGTCGTATCTCCTCTTCAAGAGTGTGATTTAAATATTTACCCTGCAACTGAGTTTAAAGGGGAAATGATGGTTCTTTGTAGCAAACGTCTATCACTGCAGAATATCTACAGAGGAAACACTGGTATTTAGACGTGCACTTGTGATCTGCATCATTGCTAAAGATGTGCCCGCACACTGTAACAGCTGCTAGCTTTCTGCTTTTTGTGGACATCCGGTTATGTCCTGCTGCACTGTAGCTATCTATTGTGCAAAGCAAGCAGCAGTTTGAATTTTAACTTCACATATTGTGTTATGTCAATCCAGTAAAAACTATATTCTAACTATATTCTTAAAGTTGTATTGATTGACTGTTTGAGATATAATAAACATACTAACGTGGAGAACTTGAACTGATGACCTCTGTTACATGACGTCCTCCCTCATTCTCCAGTGTAGCTAATAAAATAAGGACAGCCACGTGTGTTCTTTTGCACAGAAGTTAAAACTTCTCTACTTTCTAATCGCTCTAATTCATAATGCTTTTAAAATCATAGCAGGGTGCCATCCAAGCATATTTGTCTCTACTAAAATGCTAATAATGAATGGTTTACGACATCAGGAGTTTTTTTTATGATGTGAACTTGTTCTATCATCATTATGGAACTGCAATAATGCTGGCGTCCTTAACTCCCGGCTCGCTACAGCAATTTTTCTTGTGACTTTGTAAACATGCACTCAGTGTATCCATCATTCACAATTACTTTAACTCTAAATCAGATTCTGTGACTATGAACGAAGTCTTTAGAGAAACCTGGATTTTTTTAAGAGAAATAATAGTATTTGTGATGTGAGCTTGTGGTTTGTGTGTGTCTTTGTGTGTGGCCTGTTGGTTTTTTGACAGTATGTTTTTAACGTTCTGCTTCAGGACGCACACTACAGTAGATCTGACACAGCCTTCGTGAATTATTAGAAAACTCTGCTGTATGAATGCAGTATAGAATAAAGGCTGGACTGACTCTATACTAACTCTAGCTATGTAATTATGAATGACATCAAAATTAGATGTGTAGGGAAAAAAATGTGTCATTCATTTCATTCAGTGTTAGCATGATTTCTCTTTCTCCCACAAACGCATCACCTCCCTTCCTCCTCCTCTCTGTACTGTATTTGTCTGTGACCTCGCCAGTGGCTGGGCAGGCTCATCAGGGAAACAAAACAAAGCCATCTGGTTTCTCAGGCCCTATGCTGCCCCCGCACTAAACAACAGACCAGGGGAAACTACCCTGTCCCAGCACTGCTCTCTCCCAATCCCTGCCCTCTGCTCATCCCTGTCGTAATAACATACCGGTCAAAGACCTTTCAAATCCATTTCTCCAATCTCAACCTCATAAAGTTGATACATTTTAATTCTTCATTTTTTAAAGTGAAATATTAAGACAGCTAGCAAGACATCCTGACTAGATAAACCACCCTCTACTGTCTTCATTTGACCCTTCACGCTTCTTCACAACATCAGCTGGCCCAGTAAACACAAACACTTGAACTCTAAACTGCCAATCTGCCACCATCTCGTGTTTAACAGTTGCTCCCTGCAGTCACAGTCTGGCCCAACTCTGGCTACTGTCTGCAGGATGACACTCAGGGTCAGCTCTACTGTCAAACCCTTTACAAACGAAGAGATTCCAAATGTCAGGAATTAAACAAGTTTTCAGTGATAAAAAGCCGCTGCATTTTTAAGATGATAAGTTTTTTCCCCTTGTTTTTGGCTGCGATTAATGTGTAGGAGGAATTAGAGCAAAGGGAAAAACTCCCCATTGATGCTGCCATTTACAGTTAATAGACATTGCTTTGAATGTCAGCAAGGAGGAGCATTCCTGGGCTTTTGCTCATGGGATCTGCAAGTAGTCAGACATTGATAACTGCTTTTTCCTTTATAATTATTCTGTAATCATCTCCACCCTGCAGTCATCTTAAAGGCATAACTAATCTCTGAATGAGATGTAGAACCACTGTAGATTATTATACCCAAGTGTATGTCAGTACACACCAACACACTAAACATGTTTGTGATCTCACTCAATGGCAAACACCATAATTAAATGCTGAAGCTAATTCAAATGTAGCTTCAAGCTGCATTTAAAGGGACAGTTCAGCCCACAATCATAAACAAGTAGGGCTAATTATCAGTCTAGATTGTTTCAGTGTGAGTTGCCGAGTGTTGAAGATAGCGGCTGTAGAGATGTCTGCCTTCTCTCGAACATTGTAGGACCGGATGGCACTCAGCTTGTGGTGCTCAAAGCGCCAAAAAATACCCTTGAAAAACTCAACAGCAATGTCTCTTTCCAGAAATCATGACCCAGTTACTCAAGATAAACCACAGACATTGTTGTGAGCAGTTTCATGTAGGAATTATTTTCTTTCTACTGAATCGCACATGCCGACTGTATCTCTGCACTGGTCTCTACCCTCTGTGTGGTGATACGGTTGGCGGGTGTAGTTTGGTAGAAAGAAATAGTTCCTACATGAAACTGCTCACAACAAGGTCTGTGGATTATCTTAAGTAATGGGGTCATGATTTCTGGAAAGAGACATTGCTGTTGAGTTTTTCAAGGCTGTTTTTTTTTCCCAAGTGTTTTTATTGAGCCAGAGTTGTAGTGTCAGGGCTCATTTCATTTTACAGAAAACAGTTTTGAAACGATGAGCTCAAAGATACCCTTGTCTCACTCATAAACCCATAGTCAGAATAGAATATTGTATTGTGATGTGATGGTTAGAATTCAGGAACTGTACTTTGTGCGAGGTGTGATATGAGAGGTTGCCAGATTGTGATATATTGTGGGAGTCTGCCCTTTAAGACGTATCTTATCCTTTCCAGGTGTAGTTTGCTGATGAGGTCAAGTAGCCACATATTGTAGGTTGGAACTGTTGTTCCTTTCCACGACATTGGTAATAGCTTTTTTGTTGTAATGATACAGTAGGGGAGGAATTTGGAGAGTGGGCAGTGGAGAGTTTTCTTAATGCTTCGGATACACCCAGAATGATTAATATAGGTTCTGGTTCTAGTGAAATATTAGTAATTTCTGAGATGCTGTTGAGGATATCGGACCAAAGCTGTGAGAAAGGGTTGCTTGTGGGGTTCAACATTTATCACAAGTAGATGACAAATTTGGATACATGTTGTGTATTGTGGCCTTGGAGTAATGGAGTCTGTAGCTACAGAGTTTTTCAAATGTGCCATGTAGTTCCATTATATTCAAGAGAAGGCAGACATCTCTATGGCCGATATCTCCAACACTCACTTAAACAATAATAAATAGCACTACAGGTTAAAGGAAAATAAGTGTTTTTGATTTTGTTGTCAACTGTCCCTTTAACGTCAGTGGTCGCTCAATGCTCTGACTTCATTGAAGCAACAAGAAAAACCCAGCTCCTCTCTTTAAATACAAAGTCAACATTTGTTTTTGCAAGAAGTAAGATTCCCAGACGCTAAATTTACTTCCTCTGATATACAGTATGTCTCACCGGTGATTTAACGTACAGTATATCAACTGGGACACCAACTCCAACGCATGTTATTCAGCAAGTACTTTTTAAATCCAGGCTGGATCGTCTCCAGGACAGCTTCTGCCTCAACTATGCTGGATCACTTGTTGTTGCTTTGCTGCTATACAGAACTTTTTGGGTTTGTGATGGCGTGCAGAATTTGCATTCATCAATACATGTCCACATCGTTAAAGAGAGGTATGTTCTGGGGCGTGCTTGCTTAATTGGCAGGTATCTCAACCTGTCACGCTCAACCATGATGGGTGCGTTTCATCAGTTTCACCCAGGTTCCTCACTGCTCAATTTTTGCAGTTTGAGTATGGTTCAAAATCATGCCAATTTAATTTGCGCCGCATACTCAGCTGTTTTTGGCACTAGATTTACCCGTTAAACATTACCTGAGGATGTTTGCTCTGCCAGATATTCTGCTGCCCACACTACTACACCTAGTAACACCTGGGAGCTACTATAATTCATTGTATTTCCTAAATAGATAACATCCTGGATGACAAGCCAGAGGGGAAGAGCTCAGCAGATAAAGAAGAGCAACCTGTTGATGAAATACCGAAGAGGATGAAGAAGTCTGATAGCACCACGCAGAGCAAGGGAAAGGTAGGAAATTATGGTTTGAATATTCCCAAGAAGAAGCCGATATGAGGTGTCAATGGGTATTTTGGCTGTTTGGATTCTAGCAAGTCATTTTTTTTGGTTTTGATTACAGAAACAAAAAGAGATTTAAGAAAGATTTTGCATGGAAGTTGAGTATGCAAGTACTCTCCTCTGCCTGTGTGTCTATGAAGTCTCCGCTCCAACTGTCTCCTCAGTATTAACTGTATTGTCCTTGTCCTGGCCCCCCCCGCACCTGTAGGTGTTTGACATGGAGCTGGGCGAGGAGTTTTACCTCCCTCAGAACAAGAAGGAGAGTCGACAGATTGCCCAGGAGCTGTCTGACCTTGTCATCTACTGCCAGGCTGTGAAATTCCCCGGTAGAGAATATTTCATCATCCAGTCTCTTTGTTTCTCACACACAAAGTTCTTATGTTAACACACATTACTGAGTGTTACTCCATGTTCCCGCTTCCTTCCGACACAGATTCAAACTGATTTATTCTCTTTTCCAAATCTTCTTACACCTTCCCCTCTTTTTCTTTTGACACGCTATCATGTTCAACATCGCTTTTTCCCCCCGTCTTGTCCCACTTTAATCCACTCCCATGTTTTATTTAAGAGGTCAAACCTTTCCCCCTGTGTTTCTGAATTTTTTCATCGCAAGACATTTAATATCCCAGTGTTACACTCCATTCCTCTCCCACACTGGACACCCACAGAGATGACGAATCCTTCTCTCCCCATGGGACAGATATGGTTACTTCACTGTGCTGTCAGTCCCAGAGCAACACAACAAACAGCACAGTTGTTATACAGTGTACTGTACATTAATGTTTGTGTGGTGCCCTGGTGGCTGAGTAAATGGTAAAAAATGACATGTGTTTAGTTTAAAATACATGAAAATGCTCTCTGCTCAGCACTTAAGGATGTTTGACTTTGCTTTCTGTACCCCGATAAAACATCTCTTAATCCCTATTTATTGGGATCTATCTTCATTCCACGCTACCATTTATCTCATATATTTCTTTGTCCCTTAAATATCTCTTATCTCTCCTTCCCTCCCTCAGGTGTCCTCTTCTCTGCTTGTCTCCTCTTTCCTTTACATAACATTTGCCCTTATAAACATGCAAGTGTTTCCACTGGTATTTTATTTGTTTACTGTTTCCAGGGACCTGTGATCTGAGAAAGAGAGGACAGGGCAAGCGGCCCATTTCAGACAGACAGCAGACTGGTTGCTGCTGTTTGCTGTCTGAACTGGTTGCAGACAGACATGCTCCTTCTAAGAACTTGTGCACAAATCATCTTCAAAAAATACTCGCCATTCAGAAAATTCATGGCACGTCTGTCGTCTCAAATAGTCTTTTGGAAAGCAGACAGGGATTTGACACTGAGTAAGAAGTGGCTCGAGATTTACAATATTTACATTAACAGCATTCTTCCATTAAAGCTTGGGTATGGAATTTTGCCATCATGGGGCAAAATTCCCATGATAAATATTGAGCGTATTGTAATTCAGTTCTGCCTCTCTTCCTGTGACAAGAGACTTCAGCCAATCACAGGCCATTGTCAGAGAGAGCAGCTGTCAATCATGTTAATCACTGCTTGAGAACTGCAGTTTCACCATCAAACTAGGCAGTGCTGATCATTTGAATCAAGCTCTGTTACTGCATCGCCTTAATGACATGATTGACAGCTGCATTATAGAATCCTCAGCTCTGATTGATTGTTTTCGTGATTCTTGCAAGTGGCCCTTTTACATGTCACGCCATTATTCCGCCTCTCCGTTCTGTATACAAGGTACGTTTGCGGAATGGAGGGACCGAGTTGTCTCACCTTAACGCGGGCACAAGAGATAGTAACAGCACTGAATCTGCATCTGTGTAAAAGGGACAGTCAGCAGGACGTGATCAGGGATGGGAAGGGTGGGACGTTTCAACGACGTGTTATGCGTGTAACCCACTGTTGGGAGATTTTAAAAAGCAGCTAGAAGCAGTTAGTGGCTAACTCGAAGAGGAACTGTAGCCAAAAATGTCTGCAAATTGGGAAAAATATGAGGTGAGCAAGCTCCTTAACCTCCGAGCAAAGGACGAGATCAGCCGCCAGATTCACAACCAGTAACAGCCAGACAACCAGTGAGTTCCCTGGCTTGTTTCTCAAAGTCAAAAACATATTTTTGTGTTCACTTTTCAGCCCAACTTACAGTCAGCACTATTAACTCTAATCCTCCGTGCTCATTAAAACAAATGCACTTGGAGTGACGCCTGGGAGGGAGAAGACCAACTTCCTCATTATGATAGAAAGTGACGGCATTTAGAGAAAAATGATTTCTGGATGTTTCGACACAAATTGAGAGATACTGATGTCATGAGTGTGGTCTCTCCAGCCTGTCTGTGTTGCATTATTGACCACTTCTCCTCTGTCTGCCTCCTGCGTGTGGGAAACACAGGCCTGTCCACGCTGTCTCCAGCCGGCTCTGGCAGAGGGAAGGACCGAGGAAAGAGCAGGAAGTCCATATTTGGCACGGCTCCTGCTCGCTGCAGCACAACAGGGGAGGTCACGACCCAGAGCCGCACCCCTGGGAAAGGTACGCAGGAACTGGGGGTGGTTACTGTTAATAAGAGGGTGTGTGTGGAAAAGGAAGATGTATTAACACATATATTTTTGCTCCATTTTTATGTTTGTTTGGGTGCAACTAAATGCAGCAAATTAGACTGGACAAGCAGCTGAACTGTCGCCACAGCTCACAGAAATATCACATAATATGTTAGAAGATAAATGAGGTTAATATCTTGTAAAACCTGACACCAGAAGGAGTCACGATAAACAGTATTTGTTATGGCTGTATGTGAAAGAATGTGAGCCTCTAGTGGATTTTTGGAGATACAGTTTTTGCTGTTTCATATTGTGATGAACTATATTGACTTAGTTCTTCCTATTGTTGCCAGGAAAGATGTTCATTTTTCTTGATGGGCGGATCGGTACTGTGGAACTGATACTTCGATATTCTCAAGCTATTATTAAAGTTTGGGGAAAAAACATTTTTAGATTGTATCCATTAGCAGTTAAACTCTCAAAGACCATCATCAGATTTAATTAATATATTGCTAAACTCTGATTAGTGCTCAAAACTGTTCTAACCATAGTCTGTATAAAAGAAGTAGACGCAGCTACTGTGATGTCCCCCATTGGTTTGTGGACTCCTGTTTTGAAGCCTCATCAGGCATTTTGGATGCTGCCATCTTGGTATTTTGGAGCCAGATATGACTATATTTGGACGAGAGGATGGAGCTCAGAGGGTAACACTTTGCCACACCTCTATCCTTTTTGACAGGTTGCCGTGGTAGCGACTTGTCAATCACAAGCAGTGTCGCGCTAAATCATACCCTGCTTTATTGTCTATTTTCTCTAAATGGGACTGTAATTTACAAAATGACTATTGTGTTGTATTAAAGTAGACTTGAAACATTCATTCAGACCATAAACTCATCAGGAAAATATTAACTGTGGTAATAAATCAAGTGAGAAGCAGGGTTATTTTCTCATTGACTTCAATACAATCAGACTTCTTTTTGCAACCAGTGGAGTCGCCCCCTGCTGGCCAATAGAGATATTGCAGGTTTAAGCCACCTCCACATTGGCTTCACTTTTCAGACCTCGAAGCTACCTCCACTTCTATTACGCAGTGTATGGTTCCAACTCTTCATGGAGGACCACATCGCTCAAAGTAAGAGACTGATCGAGCTAATACATTTTCAGAGCCTTTAAATTTTTCTTCCGTCTTCCCTCTAGGTGGTGCTGAGCGGCTGAGCTGGGAGGAGCAGCAGACGTCTCCCATCCTCAACCCACCCACCTCTCTCAGCGCCATCATCCGCACACCCAAGTGCTACCACATCTCCTCAGTCAACGAGAATGCCGCCAAGCGCCTGTGCCGGCGGTACTCTCAGAAGCTGATCCAGCACACTGTGTGCCAGCTGCTCAGGACATACCCAGCAGCCACCAGGATCGACTCGACGAACCCCAACCCTCTGCTCTTCTGGCTGCACGGCATCCAGCTGGTGGCTCTCAACTACCAGACTGATGGTGAGGAGAGATTTTCTATTTGTATGCATAACCATTCTAACTCAACGGCCACTAGATACACTGCCGCTAGTACCAGGTTGGACCCCTTTTACTTTTCAGAGCTACCTTAATTCTTGGTGTCATAGATTCAACAAGGTGCTGGAAACATTCCTCAGAGATTTTGGTCCATATTGACATGATAGCATCACACAGTTGCTGCAGATTTGTCTGTGGCACATCCATGATGTGAATCTCCCATTCCACCACATCCCAAAGGTGATCTATTGGACTGAGATCTGGTGACTGTGGAGGCCATTGGAGTACAGTGAACTCATTGTCATGTTCAAGAAACCAGTTTGAGATGATTTGAGCTTTGTGACATGGTGTGTTATCCTGCTGGAAGTAGCCATCAGAAGATGGGTACACTGTGGTCATAAAGGGATGGACACAGTCAGCAACAATACTCAGGTAGGCTGTGGTGTTTAAACCATGCTCAGTTGGTACTAAGGGGCCCAAAGTGTGCCAAGAAAATATCCCCCACACCATTACACCACCACCACCAGCCTGAACCGTTGATACAAGGCAGGATGGATCCATGCTTTCATGTTGTTTACACCAAATTGTGACCCTACCATCTGAATGTGGCAGCAGAAATCCAGACTCATCAGACCAGGCAACGTTTTTCCAATCTTCTATTGTCCAGTTTTAGTGAGCCTGTGTGAACTGTAGCCTCAGTTTCCTGTTGTTAGCTGACAGGAGTGGCACCTGGTGTGGTCTTCTGCTGCTGTGGCCCATCTGCTTCAAGGTTCAATGTGCTGTTGGTTCAGAAATGGTCTTCTGCATACTTTGGTTGTTACCAGTGGTTATTTGAGTTACTGTTGCCTTTCTATCTTGAACCAGTCTGACCATTCTCTTGTCTTGACCATGTCTACATGCCTAAATGCATTGAGTTGCTACCAAGAGATTGGCTTATAAGTTATTTGCGTTAATAAGCAATTGAACAGGTGTACCTAATAAAGTGGCTGTTAAGTCTATGAATGTTTGTCACTCATAAGCAAACATTAAGCATGAAGTCTTTCATTTTATATATATATTTATACAGCTTATTCCAAAGTTGTAATTACTGGAAGATAAAGTTCTATTTATCATCTTTGTAATACAGTAGAAAGCAACTCCAAGGCCTCCTCTGCATGTCAGCTTTTCAGACTTTTGCAAACCCTTGAAAATGGCTGAAAGGCTTAAATTCTACATGAGCCAACACAGCTCAGTTTTCAATGGAGAGAAAAACAAGACATTTCAGATAAAGTGAGGAGTGTGTTCGTGTGATTCATATAATTGAAAAGTGAAAATGATCTGTTTTTCTCTTATTCCTCTTTCTGTCTTCATTTCTCTTTCTCCTTGTTTCTCATTTGCCTCTGCCTCTCTGTTTCCAGAAGCTCTCTGCTGTCTGTGGTCGCTGTCTGAACTCTGAGAGTCGGAGTTGTTTTCTCTAAAAGGCATATAACATTAAAAAAAATCTTTCGTCCTCCTCTGTCTTATTCTCCTTTGATCCCTGTCTCACTCTCTTTCCTTTTCTGCTCTTCCTTCAATTCACTCCTGCCTTGTGTTTTCATCATTTTTTTTTACCATTTGGAATCAAAGTTTACAAAACATCATCACCCGGGTGTAAGCAGATGGTTACATGCACTCAGACATGTCAATTTTGTTTGTAGGACGCACAACCAAAGAAAGTTCAGATGGGTCATGCAGGAAAAATCTTTAATATCTCTTCTGCTAATGCCCTCGATGTGGAGGTTTTTGAGTACATTGTTGATATTATGACATCCGTCTTTCTTCCAGATTTGCCCATGCAGTTGAACACAGCTCTGTTTGAGGCCAACGGCGGCTGTGGCTATGTCCTGAAGCCGGCGGTGCTGTGGGACCGCAGCTGTCCGCTCTATCAGCAGTTCTGTCCGATGGAGAGGGACGTGGAGAAAATGAGCCCCGCCGTCTATTCCCTCACTGTGAGTTAAGGTGACATACAGAGCAGAATGGAAGATCAATTAGGAAGACAACTTTATCCCTGATAGTTTGTTGTCTGCACTTTCATTCCTTGCCTCTTTTTATCCGCACCGTCAGCTTCCTACCTGTTCATATATTTTTCTGCTTACCTCTTTCACGCTGTCATTTTCAATTTCAGGCGTGCTGCGTGTTAATTTTCTCAGTTAAGAATGTTGAATCATAACATTGCTGTTTACGTTTGCAAAGTGTTTTATTTGCAAATACTTTTTGCTTTGGAGCACGGAAAATTATTCTCCCGCCTCTGGCAGTGAGCGTAACACAAACACTGTTGACATGTGCTTATAACATATGCCTGCAAGTGAGCTTGCCACATATTCCCCGCTTCCAGGAGCGCTCTCTCCAAGTCTTCTTTTTTTTCTTTCTCTGAATACCAAGTTTCAATGCAGAGAATATGCACAGCGTCAGCTAACAAAGCTAAAGAACATGGTACCACAGCTAGAAACAAAAACATATGATTGGTTGCACTTCACTGCTTCATTAGTGCACCCAAAAAAAGTTGAGGCCAGCTCAGCTTTCAATTGTAGCGCATCACGCCCTTCAGCAGCGACAAATGTCAGGCGTCAATTTGTAGCTTAACGCCACAGGCTTCCATTAAAAATGACTTGTAGCCTTTTGTTGTGTCGCTTATAATGTGAACACTGCATAGCTTGTTAAGCTCGTTGCAGTCATCTATAATTAATCCTACCTGTGTATATTGTTTGTGACAAAGCTAGAATACACGCTAAAGAAGGGTGTCTTGCCAGAAACATCTGTGTGGCAACATTACAAAGTCAAATTTGAGTGCTGTCCTGGAGTCGTATTCACAAACATTCTGAGAAAACTCTCAGAGAGCTCCTAACTCAGCCTAAAAAATTTAATGAGGAGTCCTAGCTTAGGAGTGATTAAGGAAAGTTCTCAGAGCGACTCTGAGCAAGGAAGGGGCAGAAACTTTTACCTTAGTGAGGAGGTGTGGTCGACCCTGTTCCTAGGTGTGATGCTTTCTTTTACCAAATGTGATTGGTTGTCACAGACACGACCCTGTATGAGCCTACAAGGTGTGGACACCCAGTGGAAATGAGATGAACTGCTGACTGTGAAAGGGTTGTCATTGTTAGTGTGATCACTCTGCTGATGGAAGGCTGAGACAGCCTCAAGTCATCACTGCTGCACTGTTCCAGTTTTTCAAATATCTTAGTGTTGTAATCATTTTTATTTTTGGCATTATAGCGTTATGTGGAAAATATGTGTGTGTATCCCTAATGACATCAACCACACAAATTATCCCTGATCTGTAGCATTTCATTTACTCACTGTCGTCTAGTGTTTGGAGAAGATTTCTCTGACCTCTTGATCTCTCCACCAGTTTCTCATCTGATTAAGAAACTCTTAAACCTCTTAAAAGTCCTCCTCTCTTCTCTTGACAGTTTTTCACCTTAGGAGCTCTTTTAAGGGCTAAGACACAAGGACCTAGTCTTAACTTTAAGGGGAAATTATAAGAAAATGTCACAGTTCTAAGAAGTTTCTTAGAATTTTGTCACTAGGAGCAACTCTTAGCACTAGGTAGCTCTGTGAATATAGTCCCTGGTTTACTTCTTGTATCACCACTATAGCTGCTGCACGTTACTATAGTCTCTCCCCTCTTCCTGCCCTGTTTGAACCTTTTAGGTCGACTTAAAACACATCACTTCTGGTGCAGTAGTGCAGGAATGTTGGAAGTCGCTATACTGCAAAATACAAACACCTTTCCCTGGTAGCTATAGGCTTCATCAGCACTGTGTAAACTTAACTTGAATGTAAAGTACATTCATTTATATGTAACAGTCCCCCTTTTAAAAAAAAAGGCTCACATCTCATTTTTGATAAAAACTAAATGCACATTTTTTTAAAATAGTGTCCTGAATATTTGAGATTAATTTGTACCCTGATTTGCATGGTGCAGCTTCTGTTTTCTGTCTGTCACTGGTGAACCTGCAGCAACTGCAAAGACATTATAACTGGACACTCAAACACACACTCCTAAATACTTATATTAAGTCCATTAAAGTGTGTTTGGACAGTTTTATTTTGAAATGCTCTGTATGTGCTTTTACTATTTGACAGTCATGGAGGCCACCCAGTTATTTCCCTATAACAGTGAATGAGAACAGAACCTCATAAAAGCTCTGCATTGTAGCATGTCCACACTTTGTCTGAAATAAAGTGTGGACTATTGTTCTGCATGTGCATTTCATCATGTGTGTCACTCATTACTTATTGTTAGTGGAAATGAACAATAAAAGCGTGAGCTGAGACGTTTAAATGCCTCAGAAGTCATGTCATCACAAAGTTATTGGTAGCATAAATAGCAGCATTATAAGCAGCAGCGAACACTCTGTTGATATAAGGTGGTTATTTGTGCCTTTAGGTGTGTAACAGCGAGAGTTAATGTGTGGAGGGACACACACACAACGCACACCTGTTCATAATGTTGAAATGCTGATGATGTTGCTGCCTTTAATTAAACGGTTTATGCTCTGACAGTCATGATCGTCTCTGAGGTTCAGATTATCCGCTGTGATGCTCTCTGAGGCATCATGAACACTGCTCTGGTAAAAAGCAGCAGTATAAACAACAGGGATGATCTCACACTCATAAAACCTGTGTGTGTGTGTCTTTAGATGAAATAGAGTCTGTTGGCAGGTCAGAGTGACTTCAGGCTGTTTGTGTTCTCTGTCCTGCTTGGCTTTGCATCAAGTGAATTGAAAACAAGTCTGATTTAGTATCAGGGGAAAGTATTAAAAAAGAAATGTTGTTCAAACATGGTGTTAATACCATCACTCAGTAATTATTGCACCTCTTATGTCTTCTTCTTCTTCCTCTCAGATCGTCTCCGGGCAGAACGTTTGTCCCGGTAACAGCGCTGGCAGCCCCTGCATTGAGGTGGATGTTCTTGGCATGCCCATTGACAGCTGCCACTTCCGCACCAAACCCATCCACCGCAACACCCTCAACCCCATGTGGAGCGAGCACTTCCAGTTCACCGTGCACTTTGAAGAGATGTGTTTCTTACGCTTTGCTGTGGTGGAGAACAACAGCTCCCAGACTACTGCTCAGAGGACTCTGCCTCTGAAGGCCCTCAAGCCAGGTAAGAGTCTGAGACACAGCATGTATGCTGGAAAGGAACAACACAAGAAAAAAACAACAGTGCACAAAATCTGTAAAAGCTTAGCTCTGGTACATACAAACGCCTGCCTAAACAGGTCTGTCTTTAACTGGCTTTTGTGACTGAAGTTATAAAAAGCAACGAGTGACAAATTTAGTGTCTTATTAAGACCATCAAGATAAAAGTTATTTATTCCCATGCATGTTGCTCAGAGTTATTGCAGTGACTGGTTGTTGGCAGCGCCGGATCTCTCCCTGTCTCCTTTGCCGTGCACATGGTGTGAGGAAGACTGCTACTTGCTGGAGCAGTGGGAGTTAATACACTCTGTACTCTAAACCTCTTGTAAATAGATACTGATTCAAAAATTGTTTTTTTAGATAGATAGATGATAAGGAGTTGACTGTCTATAAGAGGCCTAAATTCACAGTGCAGAATAATATTTCTCTGATTCTTGTCTGATATGTAAATCGTCTGTTGCAGCTGTTTTCTTTTTTAAAAGGAAAACATGTCCAATAGAGTGGGCTGCACTGCAATTTATTTTCTGTTGGATTTCATTTGTACATATCTGTTCACTAACCTGGGGCACTTTCTTATCTTGAGGTTTGTTTGTGTGAGAGAAGGCCCTGTAACCTGCTGCAGATATATAGAAAATGTAAAAGATATTTAATGGTCAATGTTTTATGAATTTTCATTGAAGAAAAGTTACAAAAAATGTTTGTGTGTGCTGTTGATTATAACTCTTACTAAAAAAGGAAATTGGAATCTGCAGCTCAGACTCAGAAGCAGCCAAGATGATCTGTAGATCAAAGCACCTGTAAATATTAATGCCTATATAAATCATTTACGTCTGCAGTGAAAATAGGATTCAAAAACTTCAAAAGAAAAAAAAATATTGCAAAAAAAAAAAAAAAGTAAAGCTCTCAAACTCATAACAAAAAATTGGCTTCAGAAACTCAGTCCCAGTGTAGAGAAATGGAGGGAACTAATGGAAGAAGTAAAAGAAATGGAGCAGTTGAAATATAAAATTAGAGGAAATCCAGGAATGGGACGTATACTGTGGACTAAATGGGAGAGCTACACAAAAAGTAGGGGGGAAATGACATAACATTAAGATCTTGCACCTCAGCTTAATATTAAAAAACAACAACAATTTAACCAGACATCCAGACCGCCAATAGATTGTTATAGTTACAGATTGTTAAAGTCAACAACCAAACATGGGGGGCACTTTATCTATTCCTTTCTTAATTATTATTTTAAATACCAGTATTTAGGTATTGTTTTGTTAATGATATGTTTACCCCCTTCCAGCTATACGATATTCGGCAAAGTTAATTCAACATTTATCGTGTATTACTGTATGTGTCTTCAGAAATGAGTTGGATTATATGAACTTCAATGTAAAAGTGGATGATTGTCGTAATGATTTGGGGTTGAGTGAGAAGAGCAGGGGATGGAGGGCACATAAATTTTATGTATTTAGTATTCTTATCCTTTATTATTTTTGATAGTCTTAAGGGTAGATTCTTTGTTTGATTGTTTATTTTGTTTTTGTTTTTTTTGTGTGTGTATTGATTGAAGCTGCTGTTTTATTTTTCTTTTCTGTTCTTGTCTTGTTTTTCTTCCTCTGTTGTAAGGATATGATCATATGTCACAATGGTGTTTCACATTTTGAAAACAACATCTTAATCAACAACATTCTGTAGTACATGTGTAAACCTGTGTGCTTAGTTTCATTTAATTCAGAAAGACAGCAGAAAATGTTCACAAGGCTTTGATAGATAATACAAAACGAACATATCTGAGGCCAGCATCTGTCCGTTTCTTTTTTTAATCAGATCATTCGGTGTTATCGTGTAGTCAAAACATATTTTCTTGTTGTGTGTTTCAGGTTACAGACATGTCCAGTTAAGGACACAACATAATGAACCTCTGGAGGTATCAAGTCTGTTCATCTTCACCCGCAGAACAGAGGAATGTCCCACAGGGGGCGCTATTCCCTCATCACTGGTAAGACCTGAAATCTCCTTTGAATCTGAGATCACAGGGGTTACATTTATTACTGTACCGCCACTGTGCCTTAAAGACTGTCCATAATAACCTGCTGCCCTGCACCTCTCCTGCTCTCCACACAGCTGTTCAGTTCAGAGGAGAAACGTGCGTCACTGCAGAACAAGGTGACGGTGTACGGAGCCCCTGGTCCTGAGCTCTTCACCGTGTTCGGTGTTACAGAACAGACAACCGCCAAGCAGCTGCTGGACACGGTTGGTACTTCAGAAATAAAGATTCATGATGCTTGGATAATGTGACTGTAGCCTGAGCAGAAGGCGCACACACACACACACACACACACACACACACACACACAGTTTTTGTCTCTCAAGTTCAAGTTCTTTATTTAACATATGCACAACATTTACAAAGAAGCAGTGGTTTGCAGTGAAAATTTAAAGTCTCAGGCTCCCTCTCACAATGCTCATTACATATGCAAATTAAAAACAAAATGAGATAAAATATAAAATAATGTAATGAGACATTAATTACATAAATGCATAATAAGAAGTATGAATCTACTAAGAGGTGTAAGCAGTTGTAAAACACAAAGGAAAAATATAGAAAAAAGTGAAGAGACATTATTAATTTGTCATGTTGTGTCACACATACCTACACAGGTTGTAGCATCCACAGGAAACCCGTCAGAGTACTTCCTGTGCGAGGAGAAGGTCCCTCTGCTGAAGGAGCGCAGCGAGATGAAGCGCTGTGCTCAGCACCGTCCTCTAGCGCCCGAGGAGGAGGTGGTCAGACTGGTGTCCAGCTGGAACTCTGAGGAGGGATACGTGGGGAGGATCTGCCTCAAGACGAGAGAGGAGGTAACATATAGAGATTAAGTTGGTAGAAACACGTAAAGTGATCCCAGAGTGGATGTTATCAGCAAAATAATGGGATTATTTGGGTTTATTGGTTTTAACTGAGTTGAATTTTTCCAATTTATCTGTTGAATGATTTAAAACACATTCATATCAGTATCAAACTTATATAAAAAGCAATGAACACTTTTTGTTTGACCCATCATGTTGACTATGGCTCCCCCTTGTGGTTGTCTTATAAACCACAGCAGCAGGGACAGCAGCTTCTTATAAAGTAGCTACATTTATTTTAAACACTCTCTTGCATGGGATTTTGGCTATGACTGTGTGTTTTTATTGTTCTAGAACTTAAATGAGAGGAACTCGGTGCCAGAGGGAGAGGAGGAGGTGACTGTAGGAGGCAGAGAAGGAGCAGGAGCAGGAGGTGGAGGAGGGGGAGGAGGAGGAGCAGCAGAGGACGACATGTTCTTTGTCCAGGTCCATGAAGTTTCACCAGAACAGCCTCACACTGTGATCAAGGCCCCGCGCTACAGCACTGCTCAGGACATCATACAGCAGGTGAGAAGAGTCGAGAAAGCACTCATTGAAGTTATGAGGAGAGGTTGGATCTTTTGAAGTGGGGTTCTGTTAGGTATTAATCCATAGTCAGTGTATCACCCATGGGTTGTCTAATGCAAAGGTAAAGCAGTGAAAATATTCTCAATATGACGCACACTTGAGCTTAGATTGAATTGTGTAGGTCGGACCTTTTTTAAGTGGCTTAGATACGCTTTGTCGCTTCCCTTTTCCACAGCAGTACATTGCTTAGCATCGGTGTTGGTAGTCCTGCTGCTTCTCCAAACTGGGGGCGTGCTGACAGTAGGGCTGCCACTAACGATTATTTTCATTGTCGACTAATCTGCTGATTATTTCTTCGATTAATCGACTAATCATTTTATCGAAAAATGTGTTAAAATGTTGAAAAATGTCAGTCTGTCTCTCCCAAACCCCAAAATTATGTCATCTAATGTCTTGTTTCGTACTCACGCCGAAGGGTTTTAGTTCACCGTCATGGGAGAGTGTGTAAAGCTACCAATATTTGAACGTAAGAAGCTGCACTTTTCTATGAAAAATGACTCAAACCGATTAGTCGACTACTAAAATAGTCACCGATTATTTTAATAGTCGATTAGTCATCGATTAGTCGACTAATCGTGGCAGCCCTAGCTGACAGACATTTACTGGATGTAATAAACTGACTACTACTTACACAACCCCAATTTAAAAATCCAAAACTTTGCGTCTACCAACCTTAAAGGAGCCTAACTTGTTTCTCCTACACTCTGTCCATCCAGACTTTGTCAAAGGCCAAGTATTCCTGCAGCATCCTATCTAATCCCAACCCATGTGACTACGTCCTGATGGAGGAAGTGACCAAGGACTCCGGATCTAAGAAGACCTCCACCGCCAAGCCCCTGCAGCGGGTGCTGCTGGATCACGAGTGTGTCTTCCAAGCTCAGAGCCGCTGGCGAGGAGCGGGAAAGTTCATTCTCAAACTCAAAGAGCAGGTAGCTCTAAACGTAGTGATCGACTTCCAATGCTAGAGACTCTTTAGATTTTATCTTCCATGTTTTTGTTTTATATTTATGTGCGTTGCATCACTGCTTTGAGCTGCTTCAACTCTGTATGTGAACTGTGACTGTTTCACTAACATCTGTATTAATCCATGTTGTGTTGTGCTCACTGTTGTATGATGCTGCATGATGATGTGCTTTTTAACCTGTCACTGCTTCCCTGGTTTGTAACTTTGCTTTGTGTGCTCTGTTGCTCTGCTTGTTTTCGTGACTCTGTTTATATTGTTCTAATGTTTTTACATGTTGTATGTCTGTCAGTATTTATTTAAGTTATTATTCATCCTTTTACACGTGAGGCCTGTGTGTGCTGAGATGTCTGTATGTAAGAATGCTGAATAAAGGTTGAATAATCTTATAAAATTTAGTGTCTCTTTTTTGAAATAGTCAAGACAGAATGAGTGGCAAAATAGGAAGTATATGTTTGGAAGAAGAAAAACCAACTGCACATTTCCATGTGTTCTGTCTGTATTTCACTGACACGAATCTGTCTCTGCTTCCAGGTGGTGCGGGAAGACAAAAAGAAAGTAATTTCCTTCGCCAGCGAGCTCAAGAAGCTGACCAGTCGCAGCCGCAGCATGACGACTGGCGGTGGAGTAGACGGTCCCGCGCAGAGTAAGGATGATAGAGCTGCATGCTGTGTGGCTCTGACAGAGCTCCAGGAGTGAGGCTCACACTCTGCCTGCTGTCTGTGCATGGAAAGGCAACAGAGGTACCGTATGTTGTCTCTAACACTTAACATCACAGAGGGACGAGAACAGTTTGAGATGCCACTCTGTTCAGCTTTAAAGTTTTAGTTAGCTTTGTAGGATTATTACGTGTTTGAGATGTGAGTGCACAAACTAGATCAGTTGAATTTGAGGTTTTTATTGAAGTTCTGATGATGTATGAAACTCACTTCTCTTTTTACAAGTAGAAAAAAATGATAGTCAAAGTCATTTTTTTCTGTTTTGGGGACCACTAGGTCTTTTTCTTAACCTTATTAGTTTTCAACCTGGATTCTATTTTCTCATTTTATTGTGTTTGAGTGACTTATCCCTACGGTCAATTGTATTCATTTATATCCACCAAAAGTGCTTGTTTTTGCCACTGACAGGCTCAGATTGTTATTTTAAGTGTTTGACAACATCACTGAAAGGACCCTACAGAGAAACTTTGTCCTTACCTTTCACTAGTCTGTTTGTTATTGTGACCAAGTCTTGCTCAAGGAAAGTTCTGACATCTTGCCATAGCCGACTTGTTGGAGGAAAAACAACAGTGGAAGTATTAGTGAGAGTTGGAGAGAGGAGTGCCAGGAATCCAGAAGGCTGTGCTGAGTGTTAACTGAAAGATTTTCAGTGTCATGGCTGAATATTTAGCTGGGTTAGACAAAGTGAGAAAAGTTGGCAAGGTTTCATAACAAGACTTTTCCTTGAGTGAGACTTGGTTACACACACTGGTGACAACAAACAGACCGGATCAGTGAAAGGTCAGTAAAAAGCTTTTGTATCTCTGTACGATCTTTTTGGTAATGTTGTCAAACTCTTTGAGCAAAAAGACACTTTTCATGAGCTTAAAATGACAAGATTGCCCATATAGATTACATTGCAACCTGTTTCACTGCTGCAGCCCCTTCAATACTGGACCTAATTTTAAAAATGGTTGTGTCTTTTAGTCACTTAGACACAAAAACGTGAAAATAGAATCCAGGTTGAAAAATACTTTAGTTTCCCTTTAAGTCAGAGTCATTATTTAAGCCTGATTTTTGAACTATCACAACTTTTTCTTCAAAATATTTCATTATACTCAAAATTCCAGATTATATTCTTGTCTAGCAGTGACCCTAAAATTCTGTTGGATGCAAGAGCATCTGGGAAAAAGTGAAGATGAATCTGGTACTAAATTTATTCATGTTTATAACAAATGCTAAAGATAAAGAAGCAGATAATATGAACACAGTGTGTGTAGAGAGCTAACAAATGCTCCTGTGTTTGTACCATGCACCCCAGAGTCTGTGATCCACATTTACAATATGCCTGACCCACATAATCTAATACTTCATTTCCAGCAACATTTCATTCGTTGTGTTTAACAGACACGTCATTGCAGTGTGGCAACAATTCTTTATCGTTGTGATGTTACTGTAGGGTTGTACCGAAGAGTTGGAAGCATCAAAGCTTCATTTGAAGCTAAATATGGCTATACACCTCGATAAAGTCGTACTCCGCTCTTTAAAACAGTGGCCTCCACAGCAAATTGCGCAGCGCAGCACGGCGAAGAAGAAATTCATTTCAGTAAATAGTTAACGTGAGCCATTAGCAAATTTTCGGGCCTTCATTCGTTGTATGTATTTGTTCATGTCTTACAAAGGGTTTAACCTGAGCCAATGCTGTACAGCAATGATTGTGATCATTCCACATCCATTCAGGGCCAGTAATGTACAGTTTATATTATCATTTTTTATTAGCATTTTTATGCAGTGGTATCAGATCAGTTCTCGGTATCGGCTGATATGCAAGTTCAGGTGTTGGAATTGGTACTGGAAGAAAAAATGGTATCGGAAGTTCTCTAATATTCTAGTTTTATATTACGGTATTTGCAGATTTAGATTCCAATGGTGTCTGTGCAGAGTTGTTTTCAACTCATGTTATCCAAACATTTCCAATAACTCCAGAGCATTGTTAAGTCCAAAAGTCAAAATTTATTAAAAAAAAAAAGAGAGGTGTAATAATTTCCATATTTAAAACATTTTTATCTAGCGTAAAAAGATATTTTCCTTCAGTCCAAATACTCAAAACAACATTCATTTGACCACAGTAACAAAAATCTAATTTGGCTCTAACGCTGTTAGAGTAAGTTACCGAAGTCGTCACAAAATTATAAAAAGGTCAGATCAAATTGAGGATTTTGTTCAAGGATTTTACATTTTTTTAGGATGACATTCAAAGCTTCTTCAAAAACCTTGAAAGAATAGAAGCATTGAGTGTACAGCGGCTAAGCCTAAACTTAAAGCCACTGAGAATCTGCATGGACAGGCTGCTTAATAACTGATGCGCTCGCCTGACCAAACCGACCGCTGCTCATCAGGTGAAACAAAGAGTTCAATTCTTCTTCTTCTTTGATGCATAATTGATCACCACTGTAGTCTTCAACGAAATACTTGCAAATATCAATGAATCTGTGTCCATAAACCATTCAGAGGTACAAATTGTCAGCATACACCTGATTTGGCCCGTCCAGCAACACCTGTCCCTCAATGAATGTTTCCTGTCTATACTGACAGTGACCCCTGCAGGACAAACTAGCATCCCACATATACATTATATACTGGGGATGGCTCCTGTAGAGTGTAAGGACAGATTTTCGGTACAGCCCTGTGTTACTGAGTGTGTATTTTATACTCCAGTTTGTCTTTAAAGCCATGATCTGTGATCCTCCGCAGGGTATCTGTCTGCAGCTGCAGGGCTGAAGGCGTGGGTAGCAGAGGGCAGGGTGGGTGCAGGAAGGTTCCTACAGGCCTCCTCTTCCTCATCTTCATCCTTTGGAGGGCAACTCCAACCTGTTCAACTACCCACCTCCTTTCTGACCCCCCAAGCCTGGAAGCTTCACCTCCTCAGGAACTGGAAGATTCACAAATGAAGTCCGGAGAGAGAGACACTTGGGTTGACCACTTCTAAACTTGGAGGATTCTCCTTTCCTAAAGAAAGGCGAGATGTCCCGACATATTGTGGAAATCTGCGAGATGATATCCCGCCTTGTGTTAGTTGAGCAAGCGGGGGACATGATTGAACGGGTTAGGTGACAGATGCTCAGCCCCTTTGCTTTGTTGAATGCATCACTTTAGAGCAGTGATGTTCATGTGGGGGCAGGCAGCACTGGCTCCTCATGGTTTATTGGTTGTAGTGTGGCTCTGCAGAGAGTCCAGAGTACCAGGGGCAGCTGCTGTTACTGAGGTCATTGAGTATGTGATCAGGAAAAGCTGACAAGTGTTCCTTTTCTTACCAATATAAAGGAAGACTTCCCTGAGTCACATTCAAAGGATGAGAGGTATGAATGCCAGTTTTTTTATCTCCCAAATATTACACCATGAGACAAAAAGGAGAGCTGCAAAATGGCCTCTGGATTGAATGAGTTTAAGGAACCACAGTTCTTTTAAGAGTTAATCAAGTGTCCTACCACAAGCTACAGTATCATGTATTTGGTTTATAAACTATCCCCCCTTTCTGGTATCGCACAATGAAAGCACACAGCAAACGGAGGGAGATCTGCCTGTAAAAACTGAAGGAGAGATGTAGGAGAGTACGAGGGGCCTGACGAGGTGAAACAGTATTCTTCTCTTTCTCAGGTATGGGCTCTTTATTTGTCTGAGGGCATTGTGAAGGAGGCTGACAAGCTGGCTTGTTAGGTTCTTTTCTTACTGTTCCACGTTCACAGTACTGTAAGGGCACATTTGGGGCATCGCTCACAGAAAGACACGACAACGTGCTGACACGAAATATTCACGTGTTCTGTAAAGGGAGCAGCAATGCTTCTGGCAGTTTCTTGGACACTACTGTCGCTGCCCTAAAGGTGATGATACATGGACAGCATTTTGAGGCGGTGAAGCTGTGCAATAGAGGCAAATGTGGAGCAGCTTTTGATGACTGTGTTGATAAAGTTGCCCTTACATGTTGCCTGAAAGGTGCAGTGTGTAGGATTTAGGGAGATCTATCGGCATAAATTAAATGTAATCATAACTATGTTCTCGATGTTCTCAATGAGGCCGTCATATATACACAGGCAATTGGTTCTCTTCAGTGGAGCCCGCCATGTTTCTACAGTAGCCCAGAACGGACAAACCAAACACTGGCTCTAGAGACGGCCTTTTGCATTTTCATGTTACCTGGAGGCCACCACATGGAAGGGTTGAGGGGTATTCAGTTGGTTGCAATCTGCAGTCTCACCACTAGATGGCATTAGATCCTACACACTGCACCTGTAAAATGTTGCATTACTGCCCTCAACTTTTGGTCGTTTTGTGGCTCTGAGGACAATAAGTGGCTCGTTTCACAAAGTATTTTAATTCTGTCATCATTGTCCTAATTATGTCAACAGGCATCTTATCTGGCCAGATAAATATATATTGATATATTGTAACATTTATCGAGGAATGCTACTTATAACTGGGGCAGGGTTTGAAATATTACCAAAACCTTTTCAATGGCTTCTGTTGAAAAATTAAAAAAAAAAAATTGTCTATAAAACCTTTTCGTTTGTTTAAAGGTGCTATATGTAACTCTGGAGAAAAATAAATGGTTATTGAGTCTCATTTGTAGGTAGTCACATACTGACATTTTGGAATAGTGGTTCGATCAAATTACCAACCCAAAGCAACAAAAATTTATGACCTACGAATGAGACCCAACATTTATCCTTCTCTAGAGTCACATACAGCACCAGAAGGAAAAGAAGTTTTCAAAGGTTAAATTATCTAAACAGAAGTGGCTGTAAAAAACCTTCACCAAAATAAAATACTGCCTAAAATTGGCAAAGTGATCATTTGAATTCAAAGTTATCTGATAGAAAATTAAAAATCTGACCAGACTTTTAATTCCAGGCTCCTAGTTCTAATGTTTGTAATGTTAGCAAGCAATTTTGGCTAAATTGAAAATTGTAAACCTGTTGACCTCAGTGCAAAAAGCACTTCATGGGCAACAAAAAAATACCTAAAACTCCTTTATTTAAATGGAACAATGATGATTTCAGCACTAAGATCCTTTGAAGAAACAGCCCCGTCTTCTTCAAACAGCATTTTGCACATTTTGTTTTTCCTTTTTCTGTCAGTATCTTCAGTGTTTATGTGTTAGATTGTTCTGAGATGGTCGATAGTGATTTTATTATGATCATCATATTTATTACTTTACATTTTGGCCCTGTTGCGTATTTAGTTCTGAGTAAAGCACAAGATAAATGTTTGGATTGTTTTGAAAACTCTTTGTCAAACTAATTTGGGTCTGTAGTCTGAGCCCAAACATGAAATTGCCCACAGGAAAATACTCTTAAAAATAGAATGGATTGCATTTCAATTTAGTTTATTGGCTTAAATTTACTGTCCTTGATATTGAATGTAGATGAGTAGTATTGATTGATTGTCAATAATGATTGTAGACTTTTCTTTATTTCCACTTAATACTCGTTTTATTCTTCTTTCAGAATTTACTAAAACTTGATTGATTTGGGGCCATTTTCCCCCCTTTTTCTGTTTTAATGTGTAATATTTCCATATTATTAAAATGTTGATTAGTTTTAGATTATTTTATTTGGCATTTCAATTATTAATACAAAGACCCTCCTTTAGTGTAGTCATGCTGATCCCTGAGGAGCTCACTAAGATTTTTAAATCTACACTTAAACATTTTATGTCGTTTGCTCATGAATGGTGACGTAACAACAAGAAAAGACCTAAAAGACCCTACCTTACAGTCCCTCACCGTCTGGTGGACTCCCATGGTACCTTATATCTAAAAAAATATGTACGGTACTTAATGGTAAGAGACAGATATCTGATCCTGTTTGAATTGTGCTGTGATTTTGTCTTTTTTTTTTTTTACTTACAAATTATCTGACAGTGACAAATATGATATATGAAATTCATTACACAATTCAAACAGGTTCAAAACATGATTTCTCCCTCACCATTTACTCCCATATATACGTTTTCTGACATAAAGTCCCATGGTGGTCCACTGGGTGGGGAGGGACTTCACTTTATTGAGACAAAATGACAATTTTCTGAATAATTCTGAAAAATTACACCGGTATAAAAATTTAAATTTGCCCATTGTTAAAGGGAAACTTAGGTATTTTTTTCAACCTGGACCCAGTTTCCTTGTGTTTTTGTGTCTAGTGGAGACAACGGTTTTTGACATTGGTCTAGTATTGAGAGTGACCGCAGTGTAATCCTTACAGACAATTGTATACCACCAATGTACATCCATTTTTAGTGCTTGTTTTTGCCATTGACGGGCTCAGATTGTTAATTGAAATCTGACAATATTATGGAAAAGAGAAATGGAACATTTTTCTTAACTTTCTCTCCATATTCTGTCTCAATATTGGACTAATTTCAAAAGTGGTCTCGATTAGTCACTTAGACATGGGAAAATAGAGTTTGGAATCCACAATACGATAATATCACAATGCTTAAGTCACGATTCAATATTATTGCGATAAAATATATTGCGATTTATTACCTTTTTACAACTGTAAATTGTGTCCCTAAAGGAACATCTGTCAACATCCGTTTTATCTAATGAGATAAAGTTTAAATGATAAAGTCTTTTTTTTTTGTATTTGTAAAAAAGTCAATATTTGGCACTGTGTGACGATACGATATTGCCACACAAAAATACTACGCTGTATCAATTGTTTCCCCACTCCTAGAAAATAGGATCAAGGTTCATTAGTATCAAAGTTTCCCTTTAACCCACATTCCAACATAAAACTTCAGATGTAAGAGGAGCTTTCCAAAACCTGCAAGCAGTGAAAATGCAAGTAAAGACACCAAGTATAATTTTATTTAAAAAGGTCAATGTGTGTCCTTTTACTTTGACTCTTTAAGTAAAACTTTGCTCAGTGCCAAGTAATGATGTTTGAATTTTAGTGCAATAGTGAAGTTCTGTCTTTGACCTTTTAGGTTTTTGTTCCACTTCTTGTTTTTAACTCTTATTTGTTATCTTCACACAAAAAGCTCTCGTCAGTGGTTAGAAGGACGATCTTTTAGGATAGTTACAATTAAGGTAGATTAGATTGTGATCCAAGAAACCACGACTCTAAACTGGTGGTAACTTCAAACTATCACGCTGGATATCAGCTGATGTAACTACGTGAAATCCACACCGACTTTAAGCAGAAAGGGACATTTTCTGTTAAGCTGTAAATCTATAATCAGTGATGCAGAGCTGCGTTCCTGGTTTTCCTTCTTTCTAACCTGTAGACCTCATTTCTGAATGTAACATTTCTTAACGTGTTGAACCTGAGACAAATGTGTGTTTGGATGTTATTTATTTCAATGTGAAGCCCTGGTTGGCAATTATCTGTTGTTGTTTATGTATAATTTCCTGTAAGTAGTGTTTTTTTTAATTTATTTCAATATGTGAGAGGATAAACTCTCCACTGCCCTGACTTTACTCAAACTAATTTAGAGACGTAAAGAAATATTTTACTTTATGTGTAAAATATTCAGTATAGTATTCATATTCCTGGCATGTTATTCTGCAGCACACAGCAGCATCTTTTAATGCCTTTTATTTTGTGAGTTTGTAGAAATCTGGACAAAAGCTGATAGTTTGAAACTTTGTTTTTGTTTTTTTTTTAAGATTTTGGTGTATTCACTATATCCGCTGAATATGACATGTGTTTGCTGACTGTGGGCTGTGTTTCATCTTTAGTGCTCTGTTGTTTCCATAAGATGTGCAGTATACCCATTAACATCCACTATGTGTTATGATGTGGCTGTCAAGTGAACATTTGTGTATTTACTTGAATTTTTAAATGGATGAGAATTGGTGGATTTGTCTTATACCACAATCACAATAAAAATAAGAAATACTTAACTTATTGTGTTCTAACTTGGCTTTATTCCGAGGTAAGATGAAGTCATTGTTTTGCAAGTAATATTGCTATACTATGACTTTTCTTTTTTACTTCATACTTACATGCATACTTTTTTTTCTACATACTATACTATAACTTTATATGACATTTAAATGACATACTATACTGTGAATTGTTTACCAGTTACCACTATGATATTTACTATTTTTTTTTTCATGGAAAAAGACAAAAAATCAACATACTATACTATGACGTTTTTCATTGAAAAAAATTGACATACTATACTATGACGTTTTTCATGGAAAAAAAAATCGACATACTCTGACTTTTTTCATAGAAAAAAATCGACATACTATACTATGACTTTTTTAAAGACAAAAAATCGACATACTATACTATGACTTTTTTAAAGACAAAAAATCGACATACTATACTATGACGTTTTTCATAGAAAGAAATTGACATACTATACTATGACTTTTTTCATAGAAAGAAATTGACATACTATACTATGACTTTTTTAAAAAACAAAAAATCGACATACTATACTATGACGTTTTTCATGGAAAAAAAAATCGACATACTCTGACGTTTTTCATAGAAAGAAATTGACATACTATACTATGACTTTTTTCATAGAAAGAAATTGACATACTATACTATGACTTTTTTAAAAACAAAAAATTGACATACTATACTATGACGTTTTTCATGGGGGAAAAAAATCGACATATACTATGACAATTTTGTGCAAAAAAATTGACATACTATACTATAACGTTTTTCATCGAAAAAATAGACATGCTATACTATGACATTTTTCATAGAAAGAAATCGACATACTACACTATGACGTTTTTCATGAGGGAAAAAAAAACGACATTATACTATGACAATTTTGTGCAAAAAAATTGACATACTATGACATTTTTGTGCAAAAAAATTGACATGCTATACTATGACTTTTTTCATGGAAAAAAAAACATACTATACTATGACATTTTTCATAGAAAAAAACTGACATACTATACTATGACTTTTTTCGTTTTTCATCGAAAGAAATTGACATAATATACCATGACTTTTGTCATGGGGGGAAAAAAAAAAAAAAATCGACATTCTATACTATGACATTTTTGTGCAAAACAATTGACATACTATACTATAACGTTTTTCATTGGAAAAAAACAACATACTATACTATGACTTTTTTTATGGAAAAAAAGTCGACATACTATACTATGACATTTTTCTGCCAAAGAATTGACATACTATATTATGACGATTTTCATCGAAAAAAATTGACATACTATACTTCGACTTTTTTCATGGAAAACAAAAATTGACGTACTATGACATTTTTGTGCAAAAAAATTGACACACTATGCTATAACGTTTTTTATCGAAAAAAAATTGACATACTATATTATGATGGCGTTCATGGGAAAAAAAATCGGGGTTCCATACTATGATATTTTTGTGCAAAAACATTGACATACTATACTATCACTTTTTTCATGGAAAAAAATTTCACATACTATACTATGACTCTTTTCATGGGCCAATAATCGACATACTATACTATGACATTTTTCATTGAAAAAAATTGAGTTTTGTGCAAAAAAAAATTGACATACCATACTATGACATTTTTCATCGAAAAAAATTGACATACTATACTATGACTTTCATGGGGAAAAAAAAAAATCGACAAACTATAGTATGACATTTTTCTGCAACAAAATTGACATACTATACTATGACTGTTTTTGTGAAAAAAAAAAAATCGATATACTATAGTATGACATTTTTTGTGCAAAAAAATTGACATACTATACTATGAAGTTTTTCATAGAAAAAAATCGACATACTATACTATGACTTTTTTCATGGAAAAAAAAAATCAACATACTATACTATGACATTTTTCATAGAAAGAAATTGACATACTAGACTATGACATTTTTCATAGAAAGAAATCGACATACTATACTATGACATTTTTCATAGAAAGAAATCGACATACTATACTATAACCTTTTTCATCGGAAAAAAATAGACATGCTATACTATGACTTTTTTTTATGGAAAAAAATCGACATGTTATACTATGACAATTTTGTGCAAAAAAACTGACATACTATGACATTTTTAATGGAAAAAAATCGACATGCTATACTATGACTTTTTTCTTGGGGAAAAAAAAAAAAATCGACATACTATACTATGACAATTTCATGCAAAAAAATTGACATACTATACTATGAAGTTTTTCATAGAAAAAAAATCGACATACTATACTATGACTTTTTTCATGGAAAAAAAAAAATCGACATACTATACTATGACATTTTTGTGCAAAAATATTGGCATACTATACTATGACGTTCATCGAAAAAAATCGACATGCTATATTATGATGTTTTTCATGGGGAAAAAAAAAAAAATCGACATACTATACTATGACATTTTTGTGCAAAACAATTGACATACTATACTATAATGTTTTTCATCGGAAAAAAAATCAACATACTATACTATGACTTTTTCATGGAAAAAAACTGACATTCTATACTATGACTGTTTTTGTGGAAAAAAATTGACATACTATACTGACTTTTTCATGGAAAAAAAATTGACATTCTATACTATGACTGTTTTTGTGGAAAAAATAGACACTTTAATATGACTTTTTTGTTGAATAAAAAAAGCAACATACTATACGTTTTTGTGCAAAAAACATTGACATAGTATACCATGACTTTTTTCATGGAAATAATTGACATACTATACTAAGACTTTTTTTCAAGGATAAAATCAACATACTTTACTATCACATTTTTCATGAAAAAAAAAAAAACTGACTTACTATACTATGACTGTTTTTGTGGGGAAAAAAAAAAAAAAAAAAATCGACATACTATACTGCCCTACAAAGCCTAAGCGCAGTAACTACGCAAAGGGTAAAACTGAGAAAAATGGCTTTAAAGTTTGGTTTTGAGACAGATTTTGTAGTTACTGCAAATTTTATACTGTTTTTTTCTCTAAAACTAAGCAAAACTGAACTCTGAAACTTTGTCACAATATAAAACAGATATCAAGGAGTTCATTTTTACTCATAACTCAATTTTTACCAAAAATGTAGTTACTGCACTTAAGCTTTGTAGGGCAGTATACTATGACTGTTTTTGTGAAAACAAATTGACACACTATACTATGATTTTTTGTCGTGGAAAAAAA